AGGAGATCAACATGACCTGGTGCAAAGCCAAAAGAGCGGCTCAGGACCGACAGAAATGGAAAGCAATTGTTGACGCCCTATGTCCCCCATGAGACAAAGAGGACTAGATGATGATAATGATGACTTGACTGGGGTTATAAATTTTTGTCATTTTGACCCTTTTGTAGTAAATTCTGTTTGATTTGACCAATCAAACACCAGGTACACATAGCTGGAGTTAATGTCAGAAATGCTGAGCTTCCTGAAAGCACAGTTACCCCTCCCCCAATGCCTCCTAGTCTCAAATATCCCAATCCCTCTCCACCACCACTTAAAGGAGAAGGTCACTCCAAAAAACGTATATTTTTGTCAACATTAATAAAAACCTCGTACTACATTTAGCCACTCACCGTAGTTTCGGCCTCTAATGTGTATGCAGGTTTTCCTTATCAAATTCATTTGCAAAGAAGCCCAAAATATGTATTCCATATCATTGCCACCATTTTGAACAGTACTCAGCAGCCAGGCAGTGTTTTTGTGACATCATTCCATCTAAGAGATTTTGTCCATTTGGCTTCCAACAAGCCTTTTAAGTACCACTTTGGGTTATGGCCACTCTCGAGCCATATTCGTTTGAGCTAAACATGCTCCAAACTCCGAAAATGATAGCAGTGAAGTTAATGAAGTGGATAATTGCTTGGGAAAAATACATTTTGCTTTGCTTCTTGCCAATTTCAAGTCGGACAGAATGATGTCACACGAACACGGCCTGGCTGCCAAGGACAGTTTCAAAATGGCGGCCTCCGAAGTCGCTTCTTTCAAGATGAATTTCTTCAGGAAAGCTGGCATTTCAGAGGCTGAAACTTTGGTGAGTGGAAAAGCTAAATGTTCACTTGCTATAGGTGAAGACAAAAAAGTAAGCTTTTTGGGACAGTTGAGGAACTGGTAGAATCAAACACAATGAATGTTAACAAGAAGATGTCAAACAGGAAGACCAAACCTTCTCAGTGGCAACAGCATGCATCAAAACAGGCTAAACTTGTGAATACAAATTATGAAAGTTTAAAAAAAAGTTTGTAAGGGAGGCCAATCCTATCTCAGTGGTAACAGGATGCTGCCCCTTTCCACCTTCACAAACAAAATTAATGTCTGGAAGCAGGCCAGACTGGTAAAATTAAACACAATGAAAGTGTACAAAAAGATGTCAAAAAGGAAGGACAAAACTTTGCTTAATGGATGTATGTTGCATTAGTGTAATTCAAGTTGTTACAATTACTTTTGTTCCATGACATTCAATTTTCTGTTTGTGTGGTTACTAGTGGCCCTGTAAGATTATTTTAATTGCCTTTAATTACATTTGTGACAAGTAACTGTTTTATGTTAATTTCTGTTTCTTCACAGAGGGACCAGCTCCTCCAACCCCTCAAAGAGTACTACCTCCTTCAACTCTTCAAAGAGACCAACCTCCTCCAACCCCGCAAAGGATACCAAGGGCTGCACCTCGTGGCACCTCAAAATGAACATCAAGTCTACTTTTGTTGAAAGCATCTTCAGTGATTATATTTAGGTGCACCTCATGTGTAAATTGTGTAGCACATGTTAAAGTTTCTACATGCTGTTGTAAGTCAAGAAAACATTTTATAAAAATACTGTAGTTGTAGTCAGGCATAGTAATAAAATCTTAAAAGTTGTTGTCACTGACTTAAAAATCTTAAAATAGACGTTTCGGCTAAAATACTATAACCTTCTTCAGTGATGAGATGAATGTTAACGGTGTCTAATGTAAATGAGATGTTTATAAGAATGTGAGGAACTCCTAGGGATTAATTTAGCATTTTGTAAATGTCTGGAATATGCGCATGGTCGTTAATTGAGTTCGGTTCGCGAATGGAATGCCACGCTTCCAAGAACAATCTACACAACCACAAGGGACAGCGGTCTATGACCTTGACGTTATTAAAATCAAATTAGTGGTTGTTTTTCATACAGTTCTGTTCCAGTGTTCTTGGAAGCGTGGCATTCCATTCTCAAACCGAACTCAATTAATGACCACGCACATATTCCAGACATTTACAAAATGCTAAATTAATCCCTACCGAGTTCCTCACATTCTTATAAACATCTCATTTACATTAGACGCTGTTAACATTCATTTCATCACTGAAGAAGGTTGTAGTATGTTAGCCAAAACGTCTATTTTAAGATTTTTAAGTCAGTGACAACAACTTTTAAGATTTTAAAACATTTTATGTTGGTCTAATGTGTAGCTATAACTATTTTTTTGTTGTCTCCATTGTAAAGTATCTATAATTGAAAAATGACTGTTTGTCTAGTAGCATACATATATATATCACAATTTGGCTGAAATAGGTCAAGCAGTTTAAATATTGTTCTTGCCTATTGCATAGCAAATCTGTGGCCCTGTTGGCATGCTTATTTCAGTGAGAATTGATGGTAGTATATGAAAGTTAGAATATTTAAATAACTATCAAGTTAAAGACATGTATCATATGATTTAATTGATCAGGGTTGATATTTTTCAAAGTTTTAATACAACTAGATTTAGCATTTGTTTGTTTTTTAGAGTATTGTATGTCACTCTTTGATTTTCTGTCACAATAGTAAGGCTTAGTAAGACTGGTAGGTTTACATTTGAATGTAACTTCTGAGGGTTTTACATGTACTTCTGTACTAGAAATTTAGAATTATTACTTTTGCCAAGAATAAAATAGAAATATTAGGTATTATAACATAGATAGGGCCTTGCGTGCACTCTGATTGGTCAAAAACCCATGTTTTATCAGAGTATGAAACATAGAAAAAGCATGTTTTATTGTTTTGTGCCACATTACCTCTATATCATACACCAACTGAAGAAGCCTGACCCGTGTATTACACTGTAATAAAACACTCCAGACATTTGAGAACACTCGAGAAATGTAGAAAACACTCGCCTGCGGCTCTTGTTTTCTACATTTCCCTGGTGTTCGCAAATGCCCGTCGTGTTTTATCACAGTGTAATACACAGCTTAGGCTTCTTATTTGTTAAATAAAAATATATGGATCATAGAAAATAAGGAAACGAATCGGTTAGAAAATTTCAACACTTATCAATTCATACATTTTTTTGGAAATTGTACGCATCATTTTCTCACAAAGCTTGTGTTTTTGCCAGTTCCTTTCATTTTAACACAAACATGGGCAACATTTTGACAGGGCAACAACTACTGGAGAGGTTGTAAGAATTTTATGGCTATTTACTATTAAGACCAGTAAGAACCAGTTCTCTTAAACTGGCCACCCCTTTGCTATAAATGGTAAGCACCCTTTTAATATTTGCTCCCTATGTTAGTATCACACGTTAAATTGGCAGTTATATCTCCACCCAAACCCCAGTCCCACCTCACCCCACTCTCCAATAACAGTGCACACAAGGCCAACCCTTTCCTTACGTATTACTACTTTTCACTTAGGACCTCTCTTTAGTAGACTTATTCTTTATAAAAATGTGTCAGAAAATAATTTTTGTTGGATACATAAAGAAGGAAGCATAGATAAAGTGATGAGGTGCAAAGGCCCTCTTGTGGTTCAAAATGAACTATTTGGGGATTTTTTTAGGGTAGAAATGGTGGACCTTTTTTGGATAGTGCGATTTCTGCAGGACTTTGTTTAGGATTGGTATTAAGTCACTCACAATGTAAAAGGGAAGGTATATGAAAGGTTCACTTTTTCTGTCAAAAGTAATAGAAAAGGATAAGGGTTTAATGGACCTCAGGGCAGATCCTCCCAGTGTAAAACTCTGTTGGTTATCCACCCCAACCCCCCAACCTGGTTACCATTGTATAAAAAATTATCATTTTCTCTTTTTGATGCCTCTGAAAGATGTTTAGATATATCACAGCATAGATAATACAGGGAAATGGTTATGAAGCCTGGTGAAGTTCTTTCTTGTATTTTTTGTTGACTATTTTGGGAGTTGACCTTGCACAAAACCTGGCAAAATACAAAAGGAGGTTATGTGTGCTCATACAACTAACCAATAAAGGCATTATGATTATGTAATTCATGCATAGTCAATAACCATAAAAAAAAAAGAGATGTGCTGGGTCAAGGACCTTCCAACATAAATCTTAGCCTGTTTGTTGGCTTCTTTGATGTTTACCAGGCTTCTTAACCGTTCCCTCTATTAACTATGATCACAGTACTGTACTATTAAAGTAAAGTATAAGATTAACTTATTTAGAGAAATTCTGCATTGTTTGCAGAGATAGTTTTATAATCCAAGATTATTTTTACTATATTTTTTATCGTAGATAATTTTTCTTTAGTTTTCTATATTCTTACTTCGATTAATTAAGTTCATATCGTTAGAGCACATAAGCTTAGGTTTCTAACCTCATGTTTATGAGTCTTGTAGAGTTGTTAAGCTAATTTAAATTAAGGTTAATTTATATGCTTAATTTATGCTACAAAATCATACCAGTCGTTTTAGTTTACATCACCAAGTGTAATGTACTCCGTACTGTGCGTGAAAATAGAGTGAATTAAAGTGTTTTGATAAGTTTGGCTGTTGTCTTATCAGAGTTTTGCAATTCTCTTTATGGACTGGTAAGTTCGGGAACTCTTGCTACTACTCTTGTTAAGACAATGTCGAGAGCACCCACCTTGGATATGCCCATTTTGTATTGGAGAATGTTTTCTTGGATTTTAATCCGGCTCATCAAGAAATGACGTGGTATCTTCCCCCTCTTCTCCAACTCAATGCAAGTCAGCCATTTTGTTTGTGTCAGCGCTTATCCTCAAGGACCTCATTGCGTATGCGCGAGCGTTCTCATTTTCCCGCGTTATTTGGCGCCCTTTCGTGCAGTGTTCCAAAGTGTGAGACTCGCGCAAACGAAGAACTCATGTAAGCTTGATGGGAATCTTAGCTAAAAAAAACACTTTTGTTCCAGATCAAAAAGCTGGTGTTTGTGTGAAATTGTTTCAGTGATTTGAAGTCATTAATTCTTTGCCTGTTTTGAATTCTCTGCGTTTACTTTCAGGTATTTTAGGATTTCAAATTTCCCGCGCGCCGTCATGTTTATTTTTGCAAAGCTTGGTGGACAATTGTGACGTTTTTACGTGGTGCTTCTAATCGTTCGTAATTCACATTTCAGATGGATATGTTCAGTTCCAGCGAGAAATCTTCTGTAGATCAGACTCCATATTGAGATCTCTGACCGCGCAATGACGTCATAAATTACCATAAAGTAAACGTGGTGACGCCCAGGGGTCTTAAGGTCATTCCCCAGTATTGCATTGCGCATCCCTACTGGGCATATTTTCACGCGTGATTAGCGCGCGCGCATTAAAAAATGGCGGCTTTTTCTTTGCGGCTGGACCTCGCCATAGAGGTAAATAGTCGTTTTCTCGAAAACGAGTACGGTGACCTATCTTTTTTTTCTGTTGTTTTCAATTGAGTAATAAATTTCTCTATGTAAAATAAATATGGGCCAATTCTCAGTGTTGAGCAAGAAACAATCGTCGGAAATGTGATTCTAGCAAGTAATTGTGACTATAATCACGGTGCTATTGTAAGGATTTATATGGTATAAACAAGGTGCTGTTGCTCCTAAACGAACATGGGAACCCCTCATTTTTATTTCCAAATTTAAGTTCCTACAATATAAACAGTCAATAGGCAAAGTTTGACAAAGATCTCAGTGCAGGTTCTATTTCAGTGGAATGACCTTAAACTGGAATCCAAACACTTCGAATTCGAACCACTTGCAGAGATATCACCTTGACATCCCAGGAAAGAGAACCAATAGGTAAGTTTTTGGAACTAGAAGTGCTTTTCAGCCAAGATTCCCCGTAAGGTTTTGTTCAAATGGTTTATTTTGAGGTAGAAAATTAATACCAACTTGGCAAATCGGGCGACATCCGTTTCGCTTTTTGGGGGAGTATTCACAATTGTATGCACCCAAACCCCCCTAAGAAAGTAACGACAATAACAGGGCTGCACTGAGAGATTACAGGATTCTCGCTCTTCGGGATAATATCAACTTGAGAGAGGATTGCAGGTTTTACAGGTTTTACAGGTACGTAAATGACGGCCGGCACCGTTGGAATGCTAAGTTGGATGCATGCTGCTAGCCGATGTCTTTCCCTTTTGACCCATTACTGGTACAGTTGTATTCATTTCTGACCCTTCGCGCATTACTTTTGTTTGTTTGTTAGTCGTTTTTATTGTTGTTGTTGTTGTTTTCTTTTCTTTTCTTTTTTTACCAAAGATTTCTTTCGAATGCTATCAAATATTCTAAAAGACTCTTTCCCGGGAGAAAGGTTTGCCGTCTCTGAAGCAGCCATACAGTGCATCATTTTCACATCTCTTTATTAATAACGCAGCTGTTAATTGGCAAGATGTGCGTGATTACGTTCTCTGATAGTCCACCTTTCCATAGGGGAATATATATCGCATTAAATCTATATATAAACTGGGACTTGACATTAAAGATGTAAAATCAACGACAGCGGATAGTACATATGGTGGCCTATAGACATAATTTGTTTTCTTGCTTTTGTATACCCAGATTTTATGATCTTTCAGTTCTTCATCACGTACGGTCGATCCCTAATATAAAAGATCATACAATGTTCTCATAGCGTCGATATCACATCGCACATTGAAATCCATTCATTACTAAAGACGCAAAGTTAGAAATATCATCTCAAGGGTACATCTGCTGTCTGCTTCCTATTCGTCGTTCCGTCACATAACAGTGACTAGTAAAGAATATAATTACAAGTTACTTAATGCAGTTCTGAAATTTCTTCCAGATGGAATTTCTGTAGGTACTACATTTGCAGGTCTGGCTTCCCGTGTTGGGGGGAAAGTGATCGTGGTTTACAATTTACGACGAATGTGTTTTTCCCTTAAAACTAATTTGCGAGACGACTTAACATTGTTCGCTCTCTTTACTTTGCTTTTCTTTCCTACGTATGAAGGTAAAGTTGATCGCCTACAACATTGCAGGGAGCAGNATCTCTGTAGGAACTACATTTGCAGGTCTGGTTTCCCGTGTTGGGGGGAAAGTGATCGTGGTTTACAGTTTACGACGAATGTGTTTTTCCCTTAAAACTAATTTGCGAGACGACTTAACAGTGTTCGGTCTCTTTACTTTGCTTTTCTTTCCTACGTATGAAGGTAAAGTTGATCGCCTACAACATTGCAGGGAGCAGTAGGAAGGACAGAACTGTGCAGATTGCTGAAGGCATTGTAGAGAACAGGTGGCAGCTGGGGGGATAGGTGGGGCAGCCGGATAAGAAACTGGAGCCGGAGCAGGGTATGGGTACGACACAGGAATCACTGGTATTGTCGGACCAACGATGACTTGAGGAGTTGGGACAGCTGGTTTACTGGTAACAGGGGAGCCACAGGGAATCCCCGTCGAGCATGCAACACTGCATGAAGGAGGGGTGCAGGGGACTGGACATCCCACGGGTTTGCAGCCAGAGAATCCTGGTGGGAAAGTAACTCCTGCAGAAAACAAAGAGAAATTTTAGCTACCGAATGACGTTCAAGGGTGATGCGTGATTATTTTAGAAGTAGTTCATTGTAGTGTGGCTTATTAAGCTGTGTAAAGCGGTTATAACTTTGAAGTCTGTGCAGGGAGCTTGAGAGACCTTAGTGCCTTAGTGTGTAGCCATTCGATTGAAATCTATATGTTGAAAGCAATAATTTTATCCAATGCTATATAGAGGGTGGTCTTAAACTTAATTCTGCCACTGGATGAAAAACGAAGACGGAGCTTCCTTGAGTCTTCCAACCCTCCGATTCAAACAATTTAGAACTGGAATATCGGTCACATAGCATATGCCCTCCCTTAACTCACCTGTTCCATTGTATAATCTCCCCGGCAGTTTATCAACTGGAATTCCTCCGATGAACCCAGTCTTGACCAAATTCAAAAATAGCTGCACGGGATTAGGTATGGTGCTTAGGAATCTGAGGTAGAAGTCCACCAAGAGGCTGCCAGGACTATCAGAAATACAAGAGAACAACAAATCAGCGCTCAGTAGTAATTAAATGTTTTAATTATTGACCTTTGGCAGGCTGGTTTTTAGTTTTGAGGTAATAAAAAGTAGTTAACGTGTTCGAAACGTGTTCTTAGTAAGAATGAATCTCTGATACACGTCTGGCAAGCGGTTCCGACATAGTTTGCTAAAAATGTTTCTACCGTTTGATCACCACATTGAAACACGAACTGTTAAATGACCGGCGTTGTAAAATGATGGGTGTCGTGGGTGACATTTTGATTCACGCACCCGTCTATTTGCCGCAGAGCATTCAGCGTAAGTTGCTCTCTTTCCCTCAAGTCTTTGTCGTGCAAGTGGAGATTCCCTCTGCCTTCTGCTCGAACAGGGAAAAACTTAGAAGGGCCGAAAACCGAAATGCTGGCAGTCCACAGAAAAGCTCTTAAGTTTTATCAAAGCATGCGGTTTGTTACGTAGACTTTTGTGGGAACTCTCAACACAATCAAGTTAACATGGGCGCTGCAATCGTTGTCTGACACCTACCGGAAGCTCTGAACACGGCACTCGGTTACGGCCTTGCCTCCCTTTAAAGCTGAGTTTACCTGGTATAGAAAGTGGTGCAAAAATTAAATCATTACAATCATACAACGCATGATACCCCCAACTTGCCTGGTCTCTGCAAGATCTCTTAAATAACACTTGCAGTATATAGAGTTTGTGAATCAAGGGTCGACTTTGAGCCCCATACCCAATTGCAACGAGTTTGCTGTTAATTCTGAAAGGTCTCTGAAGAGTCTCGTGGCTGAAATGAAACGCCGCGTCAGACTTGCACGAACTATTTTCGCACAAGTATTTGACAATTCTTTATTGTATAAATTTTTATTGATCCCCGGAATTGTTAAATCTAAACTTTTAGGAAGAAGTTTACTCCGTAAACAAAGAGACGTTATACTCAAATCAACAAAAGGTCGCCTACTCACCACGTTTCAGAGTTTATTAGAAAGTGTCTTGAACGGAGTTGAATTTTTGTTGTTCAACACCGGCTTGTGTGAGGCGCTGGGCAGGCGCACCACTGCATTGAACGATTTTTGAGGAGAACCTTTCCAAATAAAAAAAGAAAAAGGAATAACGAATTAAACGGCTGAGTTTACATGGTTTTCTACATCTACATTTGTAATCTGCACGGGGATTCAACCATCACCGCATCTGTTGGCTTGACCTCGGTCCAGCACAAGTACACTAATTGGCGGAAACTTTAAGCCATATCCTCTTCCTGACGAATCTGATGGTAATCTCTTATTATTTTAGTATTACACGGTAATACTTACACAGAACATCCCTCGAGCTTTTCACTATGTTTACAGCAGAGACGAGAAAGCTACCGAATAGAAAGAGATACACTTACCCGGTTTGTTCGTAAGTGAAGCTGTAGTCGCTGGTTTAGGAGTGGTAGCCACGGTTGGAGGTGTGGTAACACCTGCTCCAGGCTTCGTAGACACAGTCGGTTTTGTTGCAGTGGTCACTCCAGTTGCAGATGAAGCTGGGGGCGTCGCTGAAGATGTTGGAGCCACTGTAGGTTTACCAGCTGTTTTGGCGGCGGCAGCTGCTTTGGCTGCTTGAGCTGCTTTGACTTTAGCTGCCGCCTTGGCAGCGGCGGCCACATTCTTTGATGCAGCTGCCTTAGCGTTTGCTACAGCTGCTTTGGCTGCTGCCTGGCTTTTTGCTGCCGCAGCGTTATTTGCTGCTGACGTTGCCTTGGATGCTACCGCTGCTTTACTTTTTGCCACCGCCTTAGCAACTGCCGCAGCTTTAGCTGTGTTGGCTGCTTTAGCTGCTGCCGCTTTGGCTGCCGCCGCCGCAGCTTTTGCATCTGCTTGTGCCTTGACATTAGCAGCACTTTTTGCCGCTGCGGCTTCTTTTGCTGCTTGTGCTGCTTGTTTGGCTGCTTTGGCGTGAGCCTTTGATGCATCTGCAGCCGTTTTCGCCGCTACCTTGGCAGCCGTTGCCTTTTTAGCCGCCGTCGATGCTGCGGCTGCAGCTGCCACCTTTGCCGTTGCTTTTGCTTGAGCTGCTGCTGCAGTTTTTTTCGCAGCGGCAGCCTTGGCTACCGCTATTGCTTTGGCAGCAGCACGGGCTTTAGCTTCAGCTGCAGCCTTAGCTTTGGCAGCTGCTTTTTGTGCGGCAATTGCTTTGGCTGTTGCAACCTTTTTTGCGTTTGCAGCCGCTTGTGCTTTTGCTGCGGCATTAGCTGCTGCGACCTTTGCTGCAGCGACGGCATTTTTCGCAGCCTGCACTGCCTTAGATTTAGCTACTGCTTTGGCAGCTGCCGCGGCGTTTGCTGCAGCCACTGCTGGCTTGGCAGTGGCGGGGGTTGGCTTAGGGGTGGCAGCTGTCACTTTTGTCGTTGCGGCCGTCGTTGGTTTTGTATTTGTTACTGTTTTGACTCCAAGAAAAATTTTTACCGGGAGACCAGCTACTTTGGGACAGATAACGTCGTTAATAGGACTGGATGTGGCTGAAAATAAGAGTGGCAATAAAAACGTCAATATATGAGTTCATGGTCCATTGAAAAATAGCTAGGAAAAATGTTGTAGGTTATGGCTCAACTGATGGGTCACTGAACTCCGCTACCGCAACTTATTCCTGTTTCTTTTACAAGAAGCGACTAGGAGTATCGTCACTATGCTTGGCGCGATGCAGTCCATCGTACGGCTAACACTCCCGCGGCAACATGTAGGGGTCACTAAACAGTTTGCCAGTGATTGCCAGAGGAGTTTTAAATGTTCAGTGCTCCCGAACATGAACGACTCAACCCCTCTCATTCCACGTATACGTGACGTTTCCTTTATTTAGTCTAATGAATTGTACCGGGCAACTTACTTGGAACTGTGGAAGTTAATCCATACGTATCGCTTACAACTGGAAAATAAAGAAAAGAAGTTCAGTGCACTTGACAACTAGTGTTACATCTCTGAATTTTTTTTTTTCCATAGAACTCAAGCCTTTGAATTATCGGCTTTTAGGCATATTATTTTCAGCTTCTGAAACGTGCAGAATGTCTGTAAGATGAAGCAATTTGTTGCACTTTTAAATTAAAGATATCTCAAGAAATAGTTTGACTGCGGACTACTCATGTAAGGATACTAGGACCATTTCTGGATTTGACGACTTGCTCTTCATGTTCAGTTATTCCATCTTTACGATTTAAGGTTTTTTCTCTGTTGTAAAGCTCCAAAATGTTTACAACACCCAGTTCAGTAATATGAAAACTTCCGGTAGCCCCTTACCTCCAAAATCACGTTTTGCGCCTCTTTCCATGTGATTGCGTCTCTTTAAACAAGGATCTATATAAAAACAATGTGTACATTGGAAATAAATTATATATCTGTTTAAGGTGGAATATTATTTCCGCAGTCGTTTACAATAATCGAAATAACTGTATTCAACGAGATGTGAACTTTGAACATTGTCTTTCTCACAAATGTACATAGGTCGTCTAATATCGACCGGTATTTCGGCTTTACCAGATTTATTTACAGTCGTCTTGGACTTCAGTAGAAGGCCGAAAAAGAAGGTGTGTCCTTTTTCTCCTGCAGAAGGGAGGGTTATGATCAATTGCAGGAGATTAGAGCGGCGTGCTTAAGAGTGCGGCGTGAGAGACGTGTGCTTAATCAGGCTTGGAAATAACAGATAGACAGCGAAATTACTAAATTACGATTGGTTAAAAGAAGGTGTTTTTCAATTATTTGCTTTTGATCAGGGGCAAAACTACTCGCTCTCAATAGGCGATTTGCATGATGGTGTCATTTGACTACAACTACCAGAATCCTTCACTTTTTCTGTTCCTTATGCTAATTAGGACAATTGTTATTTAAAGCCCACTGGGAATTCAAAATTTAAATAATAAAGAAAAAACGAAAGGAATTCCGGTAGTTGAAGTCAAATGACGACAACGTGCAAATCTGCCATTGGACAATATTTCCCTCTTTACTAATCAGATGGATATGAATAAAACTAGTGAAAGCGAAAATTAATCGTAAATCATTAAGTTTTTGTTCTGCGATTTTCAATTGGCCCCTGATAGAGGCGAAGAAAGAACTACAGCGGGCTGGCCAGGTAAAATAGCATTTTGGTATTTGACGTTAATATGACCTTATCTGACGTGTAAACTACTCGCTTACCAGTCACGATGTCGCGTTGTTCTCTTATCTTTTGAATTTTGTTTCTCAGTTCGCTACTGCTTGCTCTGAACAGAGCCAATAAAGCGGGGTTTATTACAGCCTGGCCTTTGTCGTCCCGGTGAAGTTTAATGGCGTCCTCCAGTCTCTTAAGAGTAGGCTGTTTGGTTTGTTTTTTATCTGAACGAAAACAAAAAACCGCTAATTTGCCTACTAACGAAAAAAAAAACAGGACTTGAGTTCTCATTTTAATCATGAGTTTTTTGTGCATCCGGAGTCTAACAAGTACCTTGCTCATTTTTGACTAAGCGAAAAAAAAGTTAATCGATCATGCAGAATTTATTAAAAGAAAGGAATTTTACATGCAGGCTCTTGAAATTCCATGTCTTGAAAACTAACTGAATTCATGAAAAAAAGTGTCACTACAAAACTAGACTGTTCGTAGGCTACAAAAGAACCAGTCAGAATTGAAAAAACAAAATAACAGTAGTACCTCCCGGGGATTGATAGAGTCATTTGCATACCATTTTGACTCAAAAGAAGACACAGCTGCCCATTAGTGGCATTAAATTCAACGTTTTCAATTCCCAAACATCGTCGAACTTCTTCAGATTGTGGACCTCTTTTTCTGCCTAGCGCGTTTGTTTTAATTTTGAAAACTGACGTTCAAATTCGCCCATTTTGCACCGACACCAGTCACTTCGAGATTTTACATTGCAAAATTAAGGTAAGGGTTTTGCTTAATATGCATTGTCGGCAAAACGTTTTTCCGACGATATAAATTTGCACTAATTACTATCTCGTATTTGATTTTTACTTATTCCACTGTCGTTCAAGAGTTACTTTTTAGCCTCGCGTTTTCCGGCATGAGATATCGTTCGGCTATTTTTACTAGTAAATGTTTATTGTTTGTACCATTTTGGTGGCGGCTGTTCAACTAGGTTTGGCTTATATGAGAGGGAAGGAGGAAGGAAGTGCTAGTGAGGAAGGAAGGAAGGAAGGAAGGTAGGAAAGAAGGAAGTGAGGAAGGAAGGAAGGAAGGAAGGAAGGTAGGAGGGAAGGAAGAAAGGAAGGAAGGAAGGAAGAAAGGAAGGAAGGAAGGAAGGAAGGAAGGAAGGAAGGAAGGAAGGAAGGAAGGAAGGAAGGAAGGAAGGAAGGAAGGAAGGTAGGAAGGAAGGAAGGGAGGAAAGAAGGAGGGAAGGAAGGAAGGAAATAGGGAAGGCAGTAGAACGAACGAACGAACGAGTGCACGCTCGAGTGAGCGACTGCACGAACGAACGGAAGAAGGCATGAACTGACGAACGCCAGAAAAAGGGGATGCGGGGAAAGTTGAGTAAACCAGATAACATTTGACTGTTCGGAGAGCTTTTGCCATCTGATTGACAAAAAATTTTATAGACATAAATGATCATCGTACTGTTATGTACAGAGAATAACGCCTGAAAAATAATTACAACTTTCTCTGCCATACAAACTTAAGATCTTTTTCTACACATTCACTTGCTTTCTTCACTATTTGCAAGTATATGTATGAACTCAGGTTAATAGCTAGAGCAGTGCACCGGTGTCGCAACATTGGTCGAGTTCGGTTTTTGCAAGTTTATGGACCGAGCCGCAGGCAAGGTCCACAAACCTGCAACTAAGAGACCAATACGGACAGAAAAAGCTAGTTCACTTAAGTAATTATTTCAGTGGCTCTTTGCAATCTGTTGCTAAATTGATGCATTCCGTGATGTATTCTCGGTAAACGCGCGCAAAAGGTTAGCATTTATTTTCGTTTGTCATGTCGCTCTTGTAAACATTTAACTGAAATTGTCCTCCAGGCATAAAGGTCAAAAGACTTCTGCTTGCCAAAAACCTGTTTATTTTGTGTTATGAACTGAAAAGGCAATTTGCTGAAATAATTGTTGAGCGGTCCATCTTAGCAGTTCGTATCGCAAAATTCGGACCGCTAAGGGAACCAATCAGATCAGCCGTATGATAAAAGCAAGTGTAGGGCTTGGTACCGGTTGTGTCAAGTTCACCTGCAAGTTAATTTTTTAAATGGTCGGTGACACCCTCTTTTATTTTTCATAGATCACTTCTTCACTGATGTGCTCCATTTTGACAAGAAACAGAAAATATATGTTCAAAATTACAAATGTTTCGGCTTTTCTGCTCTCGTGCGATCAAAGTTTACTTCGAATGTGGACGAGTAAGATTAACATGTATTCTCTTTCTAGACCTATTCTACCTCAAGGAAAGACATCAGGTGCAAAAATGTACCTGATAGGCTTAGTTGCGTTGAATTATAGCGTCTCTTGTTGCTTATAGCTGTAAGCTAAGATCGTCTTAAAATAACGTAACTTTTAAAAACGCTTGATCTGCAATTCACCTTATCTCAAAAACGAGCACCGTGCTCCCCTACGTGTTTGGTCTTTTTTGCGAAAGTTGATCTTTACCTTATTGCAGTTTAAAAAAATCTGTACGTTGGAACATTTTGGGCGCGAAAGTCCATAGGTTGTGTACATAACTGCAATGACATCTTTCTCCGCATTTCAAATTTAAGATTTTTTATATATTCACTTGCATTCTTCACCATGTACGGGTATATTACAACCTCACAACGTGACCAGTTTCCAGTTGGCTTGATAGGTCAATCGGTAGAGCACTGCACCTGTATCGCAGAGGTCATGAGTTGGCATCCCGTTCAAGCCTGAATATTTTTTCAGGCGTTATTTTCACAGCTGCCTAAGTTGTGTACATAACTGGGATGATCTTTTATGTGATTGGCTGAAGGAAGACAGTATTTTTACTAGAGATAGCACATCAGACACATTGTAGGAATTTTTTGTCGGTGTGACAAGTGAAAAATGTAAAACCAACGCGTTTATAAAAACCTTGAATGACTATATAATGAACTGCTTTGTAAGTAGTAAATTATACATGCTGGAATCAGAGGTTGATTATTTAGACTCTAGTTGAAAACTTACCGTCTTTTCCCCATGAAATCTGTGCAATCACCAGTAAGCATGTAATGACAGGCAACCTTAAAAATGAACGGATATAATGTGATATGTTTCCTAACGCAGGAATTTCAATTTCGGTCATTTTCGCGTAAGAGGCGAGGACCATAGAGAGAAGGATACTTCGCGCGCACGACCGCTGAACCGTTGGATTGGCTTGTGGGCGGGTAGTTACCATTCCTTCACAGTCGATAACTCCAACACGAAGACCACTTGACAAAATGCTGGGCACATTTAAGTTTTGAGATTTTGCGAATGAAAATCTGGTATGTTTAACAATGTATTTCCGGCAAATCATCAACCTAGGAAAGCTGCACATTACTATAAATTTGGAATAACTTTTCTGATATTGTTAACACTCAAACCATGGGTCAATTAACAGAGAATTTTCTTGGGTGGCCTGGGTAGGAATAGACCATTTTACATGTTGTCCGCTCAGTGACCTGGCCTTTGTATGGCAACGATGCTGGAGGTGCCGTTGTTTTGATACAGACCTCACTGCTTTTGTTGTGTAAGTCAAGTTCTTCTAATACTAACTGACTCTGACTAGTTCGCATCTAAATGAGAAAAACAGAGAGGTTTGTATCAAACCAAGGTCACCTCCAGCATCGCTTGCATTCATTTGCCGGGTAACTGAGCTCGCAACTGTAAAATGGCCTATAATCGCACTGTAACGTTCCTATGTTCAAGAAAAATAAATTGGTGTTGCTCTTCTTTTTTGTAACCTTGGATAAAAGATCTCTAAGTCAGGCATGTAATTTCGGCTGTAGCGAGCATGTTCGAACACTAGATTTCACTCGACTCCTTTTTGAAATAAAGACAGATTATATTTAAAGAAGCTACGTCACGGTTTGCGCATCTTAAAAAGTGTTAATCTTCTCCATCCTTAACCATCCTTTTCCCTTTATAGTTTAAAATCTCTTTGGTGTTTTTCTATTCTGTCTTGGTCAACTACTATTTCCTTCAATTTAAAGGTGATTTTGTACGTGGCCGAATTGACTCAAAATGCCGTGACTGAGTTCAAACATCTATGTCGTGCAAAAGATGGATAACAACGCGTGCTCGAAGAAACAATTATGCCATTTTTGGTACATTACAGAGGACGTCATTTCCTTAAAACTGTGGCCATAGTTTTACAAACAAAATTTTTCAATATTCAGTATTCATCAATTACTGTATTAAGTTGGTGTGAGGCATTATTACCCAACTGGAGAACTTCCACGGCACAAGGATGAAGCCTGGCGGAAAGATATTAGGTCAAATGGCACCAAAACACGAACGACACCAGTGTAAGCACGGAAAATAAATAATGTTCAATGTTGAAATATTAAGGTCATTTCTTGAGCGTATATATACTCCAATAGCTTCGATTTAACAATTGGAAACTTTCTGTACCTCTGTGTATCAAATCGAAGGTCTAATACTGGATACTGTGGTAAGATTTGGAATCGAAATCGTGTTCAACAAGAAACGCATATGGTATACATAGCAGTCAACAGGTTGGCAAAGAGAAATATTTTGATAACCCCTTGCGGAACAGCTCTGCTCTATCTCTTCCACCAACGCCTGTGTTATTTTTTAAAAATTATTTTTTTTAACGCTTGCCTATTCCACTGAAATAGCCGACAATCTCTGAATAAATTGTTGTTACTTACTTCATTCTACTGCCGTCGATCATTGGCTTTCACATAACCCGAGTAAACTTTATAGCCCTGAGATCCATGAGAGAAATTTCACATGTCACTTCACGAACTGCGCTGGAAGCACTAATTGACATTTGAGGTTTCGCGTGTGTTGTCGTTGCAAAGTAATGGTTAAGGCATTCAAAACAATAACAATAGCTTGTGGCAAGGAAAACAACACGGCCTAACCTTGTAAATGCAGCCTTTTTATACAACACATTTATAACATTTTATAAATCACGGAAAGACGAAATAACCGTGAGCGAAAAAAATTTTTAAGTATCCACTTTTGTGCGGCCATTTTGCTTGGGAAACGAGTACGTACAGGTATAACAGGGCTTAAAACAGAGCATTGAGAAGAACTGAAATAAAGCGATGTGAAATAATTTTCCACCTAAGATCTGATTTCTGACAGAAGTCCAATAGAGTTCTGCTGAGTTCCCGATATATTTTACAGTCTGTAAGATTCTTGGAAGGGATAATAGATAAAAATCAGTTGAGGAATGAAGGTACTAAGACTGATAAAGTGTTTCGGTTCTATCGGCAATTCAGATATATACAGGTCATCTCAGTGTTGAAACTGAGGCACTCAGTCTATCACAACAAATTAGGTGAGTGAACTCTCTCGGCTCCCATCAGGGTTACGTGTATGAATGCAAAATGATATATCAACCGGCGTTATACTGGCTTCCGTAGTTTTAATACACACGTTATTACTGTTGCAATAATTTATCTCCTTCGCAGCTTGATTTCATTTTGTTTAAAATGATTATATTCATCTTTGATCTGAATAACCAGCAGAAAAAAAAAAAAAAGTTCATGTGATGCGTGATATATACTTGCGACGAAAGTAATATGAAAAGCTGAGCAAGCTCTTAAAAGTCATAGATGTGTCAAGTATTTTCGTAATTTTGCCATGCCTTCGAGGAAATTTGATTTTTGTCTGCTCACAGAATAGTAACTAGCTGTCAAGTATTTTCGAACAACCTGCGCGGGGTGGAGCCATATGCACTCGAGTACACATCAGGGACGTTCATTCAAAACCTGACCTGAACCCGGCGATGATATTAAATATGGATTTCGGCCAATAACCAATAAAATAAGGCAAATAAGTTTACTTTTTATACCAGTCACTAATTCAAAATCTTTTGTAACAAGTTTGTAACCCGATCAGAAAATAATTCGACCTTCGATTGTTTTTTTAATACAGTAGGGAAGAAATATACGTAAATTTCCATGGCATAAATGAAGGGAAAAAACTATGGAAGGGCATAGGGCATCTGTTCCGGTGTTCCAGGGTCGCAGCTCCATTCCTGCTGTTTGATTTCAAGAGCGATACCTGATTGGTCAACTTTGTTGCAGAGCCCGCGATTTCCCGCCAAAAGAGTGTTGTCATCGCTGAAACTAAAATTTTATCTTGAATTTACATTTTCCTGTTGCAATAACATTGTAAGAGAGCAGTTTTAGCAACGGAAGTGATATGTGTTCATCTGTCCGCGTTTTTAATTTCAGTTTTTAGCGCCCATTAACGAATTGTGATGCCATGTCAAGTGCTGCTACAAGTTAAACACTGCAATAGATCAATCCGTCTGTTTACATCACGGACCAAATTAGACCCGAGCAGGCATTGTAAACTTTGGTTAATATAAATAATCCTATTCACCTTCTTGATAACAAGGAGAACAGGTAATTGCTTGGAGTAAGCATGGCAGAAGAAGGAAAAGATCAGCTGGATTTCACAGCGAAAATTGCCGAGCGGTCTGAACAGGATTTGCTGCCGTTGAAGGAAGATGTAGCAGAATGGTTGTCGAGGGTTTTACAAGAAGAAATTACAGCAGAAAATATCCTGGACTGTTTAGAAAACGGTGTTCTGGTTTGTAAACTAGCCCAGATTGTGCAAAAAGCAGCCCAAGACTGCATAAAAGCGAAGAAATCGGTTAAGCCCTTAGCCCCGTTCTCCTCGAAATTTCATCAGAATGCCAAAGCTGGGACTTTCTTTGCACGGGACAATGCGGCCCATTTCTTGCAGTGGTGTCGGCAGATCGAAGTTCAAGATTCTGTCCTATTTGAATCGGACGGAATGGTGCTTCAGAAGCAGCCGAGAGAAGTGCTTTTGTGTTTACTTGACGTGGCAAGAGTGGCTGCAGACTATGGGATCGAGCCTCCTAAACTGATCAAGCTGGAGAAAGAAATTGACGACGAAATTGCTGCTGAAGAGAAGAAACCAGGTTTAAAACCAGCCAAAAATGAAAAGAAAGTGTCGAAAGCAACCAATATTGACGCTGAGGTATGAATCAATATTTTACTTTCTATTTTATAAGTTTAGATGTCAATCAAGGAATGTAAATATTTCTTCCCTGACTACATCAGCTAGTAAATGCACAAATAAAAGTTGCGTGTTACAATGTTTACAGAGATCAGTAATGGGACACCACCTGTGGTTAAAGCAGAGTTCCAACTGTCTTTTTGTGCAGCTCATATTTTCAATTATAAAGCGAGGACATTATTGCTGCATGAGTATTGTTGTTACAAATATTACAGGAATGTAGGCCACTTAAAATCTAATGGCATTTGAACACAAAGTGCCACTTTTAACTGTCAGTTTGTAACTATTGGGGACTTAAAGTTATTGATAAAGTATTTATCATACTAGCTGAGGATGATAATTTGACAATATTGCAATGCTACACCTAATGTTGTTTATGACCATAAAATTAATTTAGATCTTTAATTGGAAAATATTACTAAATTTACGCAGAACTCATGCTGTTATTGCTGTGATTCAAGGCACCATATGGTTAGGTTCCTGAAAAATTAGCAAGTCACCTACAGCATACAGCATACATGCAGGTTTTCATACAACTCAACTGAAGTAACCTGTCGTGAACTAGATCATTGCTGTAATTAGTCAACCTAATTGGCTTCCTGTCTGAAAATGAAAAAGTTAGATGACCATTTACTTGATTTTACCTGAGTTGTCTTGCCCCCCAACCCCCCACCTGAGACAACTTGGTGATGCATTTTTTTTTCTCGTCTCAGCAGATTGGGTAGCCCTGTAGGCAGGACAACTTTTCCTCATAGAAAACACCTTGCAGGGCTTGCCTATTTGGGGTGACCCATGGCATACCAAGTGTCATTCAATGTCTAGATTTTAGATTTTAAAACAGAAATATCTATTTAAATGTAAGTAAAAATTAACTTGGCAAAGCCCCCAGTGATGAAAACACCAAAGAAAGAGGGATGACTGCAAATTCAAAATAGCTAATAAGGGTCATGAATAATTATACAGGGTTAACTTTGACTTGGCCAATGGAGACAACTTTTTCTCATATAAAAAGAAAGGGTTGGAACAGGGTTGTCTCACTTACCCGCGATCATATAAATAGTCACACCTTAGACAAACATACATTTTGAAACAGGACAGAAATACATATCATGTTTGCTGGATCTTATCAAAAGTATGGTGAGTTCTCTTAGTTATTTGGAAAAGGTATAACCTCCTAACTGAAATAAATACTTGAAAAGATAGAGGCAAGACAAACATAATGATTTATAGCTATTTTCAACTCCTTTTTAGGTTGCTAGGCTTGCTGCCATGTATAATGTGAGAATTGAGAGAATTAAAGAGGGAAGGTATATTGTGGATGGAAAAATCAACATCTTTGTCAGAGTAAGTGCATTGTTGTTTGTCAGATTCGATACCCTGTTATTTCATGCCAAAAATGGCTTCACAGCCATAATTATTTACAAGGTGGCCAAATAGTTTGAAGCAGGCAGCTTTATTGCTGGTGTGAGTGGCCAAAGTTTTCATCATTTTCTGAAGAATCAGACCATTAGCAGAGTTAAGCCTGTCAAGATTATAAAGTAAATGGTGATTTTTGTGTTTTTTCCCCTCATGTCAAGGTAAATACTAGAAGCAAAATGTAGAGTGGCTTTGCTTCTCAGTTCCTGCCTCTCTCACCCTCATTTCCTGCCTTCTCCTGAAAGCAAGATTCTTTTAAAAATATGCCCAAGACACATTATTCCTCTTTCTTGGTAAATATGGACTACATGTATATCACTCAAGGCATTGTTTATACGTTTTTCATGTGTTAACAGATTCTAAGGAACCATGTGATGGTGCGAGTTGGTGGAGGGTGGGATACATTAGAACACTTTATCAGCAGACATGACCCTAATAAGATTGGAAAAATCTTGACTTGTAAGTATAATATATCAAACACAAGGACTGTGTTTGACCACAGCCTGCAGTGGAAATTATTTCATCCTGTTAGAGCAGCAATTCTCCTAGTTGTTTTATGCAAGGGAAACTAATTAACAGCCTACCTAGCTGCATACCTACCTATCTACATGTTGTAGGTCAATTTGTTTTTTAGGTCAAAATGATATATTTAAATAGATTTAATCATTTTTGCAACCTAAGTTACATTTTTCAAACCAGTTTATTTTTTCCACTTTTTGGGGGCTCATTAAAAAAAAATAACTTGCACACCACCCACCCCCTTTAGCTCCAAACCCTACCCTTCCCTGCCAGATCTCATATCAGCCCCCCTAACTCCCCAGATATTTTTGTTATTATTTTGTACTCATTTAGCTAGATTTGAACACTTGATCTCTGACTTTGTAGTCCACTTTCATCTCCACTATGCCACACAAGTAATTGTAGCGAATTTGTTCATATTGTTGGTCTGATTGGTTATTGGTCCCACACTCACCTTTCCCCTTTGACATAAATTAACCTAGGTTGAAATCACTTTTATCTAAAGATCAAATATTTATTGACCTTAACTCTAACATATACCTACAGTACATGATGTAACTACCTACCTACCTACATGTGTACCTGCATGTAACTACCCTAACTCTCCTGCCTGCCTACCTACCTAGCTATCTACCTGGCATTTTCAATTACTTTCATACTTATTTTTTTAATATAATCTTTTATTTCTATAGCAACACCCCAGTCATGTGATCACCACCACCATCGTCATCAACAACAGCTAACACAACTAACAGAAATGACTTCAACATGAAAGGGTTTTTCCTTTGTCCTCGTACTTCAAGAATAACTTGCCATGAGATCCAGTGTCATAGTTTGCTGTGTACCTTCTGCGATCATGTTAATAACAAAATTGTTGAAGCACATTGGTTTTCAGTACACCTTTGAGATGTTTTATTAACTATTAACATTACTGTACATGTGGAACTGACTGCAGTATACTTTGGACATAAACAAACATAACCTTTTATTATCATGTGTTTCCTTATTAATTAATACTCCAGTCAGTTCAACATTGTTTTATTACTTGGAAAGCAGGGAGAAGAAATTGGCATTTTTTGTTTTGCCCGATATATCACAGGTTCTCTGTCGTGTTAAGGTTACATAAAAAAATTAGTATTTAAGGATTCTCATCACTGGTTAAGAGACAGTCAGTAGTATTGGCTTATCTCTGAGATGTCTGAATGCTTTATAGAGGGTCACACGGGGGGGGGGGNGGGGGAAGAGGGGGGAATGTCTCTGGCATGGTTGTGAAAAAATAGCGAATCACGGATAGCAGAGTTTTATTTTTCTGAATCACGAAAATAAGCAAGTGAAGTACCCTTCTTAATAACCTGCTCTTACTCTTGAGAGTTTTTAAGGAAAGCAAAATTGTTAATAGCCCCGTATGACCCTCATCAAGGAAAGCTCTCTGTTACTTGATAGTTGCTGATGCCTTATGAGATGTTATGATAATTATTATACAGGTCACAGCTGATGTTTTCAGTCAATAAATCTTTTGGAGGACTCACTTCCCAAAATGATGTTGAACAGAGTAAGAAAATCATGAATATTTGTTAGTAATGTAAGTTCTTCATGGGTCACTCAAAACCTTCAAGTCTTGGATTTCTTAAATTCACGTTTCATGAAAATAAAATCAGCTAATCATGTGCATCACGAGAATACCCCTGTATGACCCTCTTCATACATCAAATTGTTATAAATAAGATTTGTAGCCAGGGTTGGTGTTGTTAAAAGATTTCTGGTGTCCTCATTTTTTGTTGGAAATTCAATTGTTGAATGTTCATACGGTTTTGTACACTGCTTTCCTAATAGAATGGGCACATATATATAAGATATGTAGTTTCTTAAGGCCAGAATATGAGATTTTAATTTAGCCCTCCAAAAGTATGATACATGGCCTATTTTGATGAAAATAAATGTGGTTCACTACAGCTATTGCCTGCAAGGGCTCATTTCGCATGTGGAGGCAGGCGACAGCTGGAAATACATCTGCGTTCGCTAGTTACTACAGCTATAATGCATGCACTTAGATAAAAATTTTAATGTTGCATCTTTTGATACACGTATTGAAAAACTCCATGGTCAAAATTCTTTGTAAACCAGAATTTAAACTCCAAGCAAGGTCCTTAAATCTAAAATTGTTTGCAGGGTTGCTTTAGGTTTCACTGTGTGAGTTAACAAGGTGCATAGTTGCAAATATGTGCAATATCAATGTTTTAAATTAAATTATACGTCACCCTATTCCTGTGGCTATATTTTAACTTATAAGCAACACTTGTAAAATTATTAATAATTGCAATTGCAGACATGGAGTATATTGATGCAAGGATGTTTTGTACACTTTTTTAATGAAGTTGAATTCAATGAATTGGTTGTAATAATTATTTTACAGAGTTAGAAATTAAAAGAATTTTGGAGTCACTGATGTTTGAGCTATTTTTTAAGCATTAACCAAAAGTTAAAAAATACTCAGTACTCCACCTTGACAAATCCTTAAATAATGTGGTCAAGATGGCTGGATATTGGCCAAGTTCTTCTTTTGCACATTGAGCTGAGAGCCATAAACATGCAAAAAAACAGAAAGACGCCGATATCCAGCCATATTGACCGAACAAGCTTGGTCAATCACTTTTTCCTTGTAGCCAAAGTGGGTAATCCTGACCAGGCAAGATAGTGCCACCTTGCTTGCTCAGGTAAATAAAAAACATATTAATTTATTTTTATTACCAAGTGGAAAGGGCCAAGCAAGAAAAATATTTGACTCAAGTCATGGTGCACATGCAGACAGAGCACAGCAAGGTCTGTACCGAAATGACAGAGAGCAGAATATTTTTCTATCTGGTGCTGTACACAGTCCATAAATACATGTATCTTATCACTCCACATTTATCCCGAAATCGCAATAATTAAACCATTGATTTGTTTGAAGAGCCAGACAGTTTTTTTTGCCTCCAGACTGGCTCACAGGATTGTTTTCGTTAAGACTGGGATGAGGGGGGGGCATACAGTGGTATGAATGGTATTAATAACACCCTTAACATTCCTTGTCTGTTTCCGTTACTTGATTTTATAAGTAGTTGATAAAAAAACAGGTAGTTTTTACCCTCAACCATCAAATCTCCAGGATCTCTTTAGATGCTTATAGGAAATACTGGGAAGATAGTCTTCTAGTTTTCATTAATAGGTAAAGTAAAATGTACATATATCACTCACAGCTTTGAGAATTGATTAGTACAGAGAAAAGTAGACTGAAACAAACCAGATGTTCTGCGGAGTTTAATTGGCTCAGTCTTCAGTTTACAGACTTCATTTTTTGCCGGCTCTTTATGGTAAAATTACTAAATAAATAATTTGAATCACTTCACCTAAAGTGAACTTAATTTTATCAGTTGTCCTTTTAAAAGTTATAATACGAACATCTTTTGCCTACATTATGTGACAAGAAGCACTTTTCTTTATGCCCTAGCAGAATTTTTATTCATCAACTTTCTGTAATTAAGCTAAGTGTAAATTGGAAATTGATATTAATTTCTTGTTCCTTTTCTTGTTATATTGCATAAAAAATAAACCAGATATCTTTTTGACACAAGTGATAAAGTAACTGACTAGGATACCATTATTTTTGTAACAAAGTTATATCTGTGAGAGGTTATGTTTCTTTGGATCTTTGCTTCCTTGGTTCTTTTTGTTGTGCAAGGCCCTGAATGAGTGGTTAAAACTTGAAATCCTAGGTAACTTTGCCTTAAAATCTGATTGTACTCTTCACAATCATTTTCTCTTAGAAACAGTTCAACACACTGGTGATTTGATTGTAACAGTAAACCAAGAAATGTTTCCTGCTAAAAAAGAAAAACATTTAAATTTTGAACTTTAACCAGAGCGTGTGAAATCTGCAATTAACCAGAGCCATTTATTCTTTAAATAAGAACTGTTATTTGAAACTGGTTTGCCATCAATTTAACTACATTTAATACACACTGTCAAATACACTTAAATAATGCCAATTGAGCAAAGCTTTTATTTCCAAGTCCCTGAATAACAGAATGAGGGTTTCACCCTTTACTATACTTGTTGACACAGTTGCAATTAAGTCAACAATATTGTCATTATTGATAAGTACCTATAATTTGAGCAAAATAGATAAGGAATAAAATGGGGGCCTGCGCTTTTGACCAAATTCAATTATTCAAATTTAAGCACTTGTACAGTACATGTAATTAATTTATGACTATTTCATCATTATGGGTTTTGAAAATTCTTGAATGACGCTTCATGGGCAATTTTGTTACCTACTTAATTCTAAGGGCTCTTTCATCCAACAGTCCACTGAAGATAAAGAAAACAGACATGTTAAAAATACATAACTTGAACAGAAATTATTACAATAACAATGTGTACTGTTTTATTCCTTTATTTGTAACTTAGAAATTTGTTTAACATGTAGGTGATGCACCACCCACCCAAAGTAAGTTTAGTTTTAAAGAGCTACTATGACGAAAATTGCATCATTCAAATCTGAACCATTTTAAGACATAAACAAGTAGTCTGTACAAGAATAAAAATGCTTTTTACTGTTTTCAAATATCTCTTTTCAAGTTTTTAAAATATGCAAATCAGCCAAGTGATGACGTCATACACTCAACCAAATTTTGATCAAATATAATATACAAGGATATCTTGGTCAATTTGCATCAGAAATGTTTGATTTTTTAACAGTAAGATTCCACTAGAGATGCTCTGCAATATGAGCTTAACAATTTTTGTTACCATAGTAACATACTGGGTTCCAGACTTCCAGATATTAAAGGCTTTTCTGACCACATTTAATGTTCTGTATTGATATTTGCCAATGGTACCTCATCTGCATGATCCAGCAAGCATATAAATATGTTAGGTTGAGTTCATGGCCTTGTTTAATGTTTTCCAAGCTTAAAATCTCTAAAATATTGAAATCAGGCTAAAGGGGACTGGAAAAGAGTGGGTTGCCATGGGAACAGAAATTATTATAGCCATAGGTGTGTTGCAGTTAGAACTATTAGCCTACCAAGTTTCAATGGTTTCTGCTGCAAATTGACCAAGATAGCGCTATTTATATACTTGATGTAATATTTGGTTGAGTGTATGACGTCATCAGTCATCTCATTTGCATATTATACTCATTTTTCAAACTTCAATATCTCTGGAACCAATGCAGATATTTGTAAACGGCAAATGGCGTCTTTAATCTTTCGTAGAATTCAATGTGATTAACCTAAAATATCAAGGGGTGAAATTTGATCATAGTAGCACTTCACAGTCAAGTAAATCTAAAAGTTATTAAGAAAAGTTTGCAAAAGGTAGCATTAAAAGTGTGTTACTTTTTTTTTCTATTTTTGTCTCAAGATGTGATCACTTGCGGTGCACTTTGACTGTTAGTCTTTTTTAGGTTTTACCATTTACTGATACATCCCAAACTTTTACTTAACACTGGTTGCCTAGCATGAAATTGGTAGATTTCACATAAAAGTGAAAAGTTTAATGAATAAGCAAGAAAAATTTTATTATCGATAAATAATAAATATATAAGAGAAATTGTCAGTTATTGCAACCATCACCAAGTAAATAGTCTGGATAGATAGATCTTTGTTTCTGACTCACCTTTTAAAGACAGGTGGTCAAAAGGTACATTGAGAAAAGTGGAGCCTATCTAACTCCCAGATATACCTTAGGGAAAGTTTACCAGAAGTGGTTAACACCAATCTGGAATAATTATTATCATAAACTTGTGATCTTTTCAATTATAAGCATGAATATTAGATTTGAACTATATAATAATGAACCTTTAATCCTCCATCTGAAGGACCCTGCTTCAAAGCTTCTTTCTCTGCATCTTCCTTTCTTTTCTGCTGTCGTTTGAGTCTCTCTGGATCCTTAACACCACGGCCCTCAGCCTAACAAAGAGACAAGATTTCTTTAGTCCTTGTATTAGTAGAGGTGATGACTGGCAAATTCGAGACTTCAAGAGAGGGTGAGACCATTTTCTTTACTGCAAGCCTGAGAATTTCTTAGCCTTGCAAAAAATTGAGACTTCATAAAGGCAGTGCAAATGCTTTGAGGGACCATTTGATTTTGTCACTTATGTTACATAGAATGTATTACATGAGGAAAAGTTCCAGTTATACCCCATAGAGGGGTGGGAGGGTGAAATGAAAGAAAACTTCCTTGGGAAGAGCATCAATATTTCCTGGAACGACACAATCAGAGAAACACAATGACATGTATGCCACCAAAAACTAGTCATGAGTTGGTCGTGCCTGTGTTCCCACACTTGGCACTCAAAGTATGCGACTGCTTCAAGTTCTCATATTTGTTTCACTGTGTTATTTCTATCTGTTTTGCCTGGCCTTTGTGATACTCTTTTGGTTTTGGTTTTACAGTACTGAATTGAAAACCTCTATTGACTCTAAGTTATCATCAGTCTTACTTGCTGCTGTCGTTTTAATGCAGCCTCTTGTTGTTGTCGCCTTCTTGTTTCCTACAAGATTGAATACTAATCAAAATTAGTTCATGGCATATTTGGTCACAACAGGCTTTGCTATAGAGCCTGCTCAAATGAACAATTTATAAGGCATAATATGAAAAATAAAATGATTAATTTTCTTTAACGAGTGGCCATCCACAGGATGCTTGGCCACCCATCTGGCTAAAAGCCTGGATCACAGAGAATTTGGTCACTTCCATTCTATGTTAAAATCTGTTATGGAGGCACATTTTACTTTCAACAAAACTGAACATCAGTCACAGTGTAGTGTTTTGGTAGGGCAGAGGGCTTTTCCTAAAATCAGGCTGAACAAATTAGGAACCACAGTGACAAATGCCACATTTGTTAGTGACAGAAACACAATTATTTTACCAAGCTTGGGACCTTGTGGCAACTTATGGTCGTTCTTCGAGAGAGACAAGCCTTTTATTACAATCAACTCTTCTTTGGCAATAGTAACAATTATTATACCACAATATTTATGTTTATACCACAGCATACAAAATACAGCCAATCAGAATACAGGAAAGCCATTGTATATTCAATGGTATTACACCCAGCCTTAATTTCCATCGTGTGTTGTGCATACATGTATGTCCCATTTTCTGATTTTTGGTATTTTGGGGGGAAATATTTTGGATATTTGACACATTTTTGTGGTTGAATTGGCGGAGCTCTACTTTCTGCAACTTTTTCTTTAGAGTCAAGAGGGTAAAATTGGCAATTTATCTCCCAGATTTTTGTTAAGGTTGACATCTCTGGTGATATGGGATCATGACCGGGAGTTCAATTCTCTTAACCCAAGGTTAAGTAACTGACCCAATAACCCTGCTTTGAACGGTTAAGACTGTTGTTTCTCAAAATACCCTCAGGTTTACAAACCTACGAAATTTAAGAAGTTAAGAAATTAAACTTCCGCATTAGCTCAACCCAAGATTTATAATTTCACCCTTTTTAGAGCAAAGAATCCCCAATCTCCCTTCTTCTACTTTTGCATTTTGTTTTTGCTTGAGCATAAAAAATTGATGTTGACCTTTATCACTGTTTATATCAATATTTTTAGTATGAATCATGTCAGCAATTTCAGCAAATAAGACTTCGCCATTTTCGAGAATTTCTTCTCCTTAGACTGCAGCCCAATTCCAAGAATCATGAATAGAACAAGAAGATTCCCGAAATTATTTCACGAATTCAAAGAGTCACTCACCGGATCAGGAGTTTCAACTTCGGGTTGTGGGTTTAAGCAATCAAGGCAGTTCCCCATTACTTCTATTAAATAGTAACTCGCTACATTCCAAAGACTGAGGACACACGTACATAGAGAACAACAGAAATCAAGGAGTTCTCGCAGACGTCAAGATGACAATATACATCATGTAAATTGAATGAAGTGCCGAGGCTGCGCCGGCAAAAAAAGATCGAGCAACCTGAGTAGGCTGACTTCCCTCAAACCGCGGGGGAGTGGGGAGGACTTCCATATAGGAAGACCGGGGTACTCGGCGGAAATTTTGAAAAGAACCTCTAACAGTGTCTAAGAGGTACCAAGATCCTGTTTTGTGGGCGTGGCTTGAAATTATTCCAACCACTAAGAACCAATTCTAATAAACAATTAGATTATGAGCTCGAGATTTCTATCGCGTGATAGTTGACGAGGGCGCTATCACGCATAGATATCGAGAGCGAATAATCTAATTGTTTTAGTATAAATCTACTAGTCGTACAAAACTTTATCTAAATCCTCTCCACAGACACTTCGAAAACGCCAAGAAGCGCTCGTCATTGCTACGCTTCTCACTATCTATCGCAGAATAGATAATGAGTAGCGTAGCCCATCAGAGAACGGCATTTATGATAGAACGGTAGTAACACAGAACACTGGACGCTTACCATTAAAAAAAAAATTCGGAAATTTCGGTTGAAAGTCAAATGGAACAGTAATTTTCTGGAAAATCCGTTCGGAAATTGTAGACTACCTCCAGAGGTAGTCCTCTTTTTCCGTTCCGAACGGAACGGTGGAAATTTCTTACCATTTGCTAAATTTTCCAGTTTCCAGTCTCGCATCAGCCGAAAACAAGTACGAGAAATCGAATTGCAAATGGTAAGCGCCATCTCGTTCGGTTGGTTTGCTGATTGTGGAAAAACCCTAACCATTATTCAACGGTCATCCCAACCGGTTTATTCTGACAAATGGTAAGCACCCATTATCTCCTTTTTTTCCGCAAAAGCTGCCGCTGTGGACCTTTTGAGGCTGAACTCCCCAAGAGGTACTAAAACCGCTTTTTTCACCCCTAAAAGGTACCCACAGGCACCCCCGCACTTTTTATATACGAAATCGACCCGGACTCTTAGTCAGCTACCTGTGTACTGTTTTTTTTTTTTTTTTTCCGTAGCCCCTCAAGATTATTTAGCTGACTCCTAGTTTAAGCAACTTTGCGTGCACTTGTTGGTTTGTTAATTATTATTATTATTATTATTATTATTGTTATTATTATTATTATTATTATTATTATTATTATTATTATTATTATTTGTATAGTACCTTTAATTTTTTCCGATCCCTTGCATTTATTTAAAGTACACAGCCTACCAGATGCTAGTAAAAATTAGGTAAAGGGAACCGTCATTCTTTTGTAACTTTTTTTTTTTCTTGCACTTGATTTGTAGATAGTGCAAATGATTGGGAGCCATTTGCATTTGAATCAAACAGGTAATTGGTTTTGATCCCATTAAAATCCATAGAAAGTAACTGGTCAAGATCTGCTAAGTACTTCTTTTAGGACAAGAAAATCCACTCACAAGAAACCGGATTTTAAAACAATTTAATCAAGTGACAACAACACATTACATAGACATTTCTACAAGTAGAGTGAGCTCCCCCTTTACGATGGTCAACCCTCACCAAGACAGAGATGTTGTCAAGGAAACCCCACAAAAGTGGACAACGCCTCTTCTAGGATGAAATATTTCCAAGAGGTCTCTGCCAAGTATCTGGATTACAGGGAGTTCACTACACATACTGAATAGTCCATTCATATGCAGCCAAGTGCTTCTCTTTCTTACCTGCTTCAAAAACTCAAAGCTAGGAAGCAACACCAAGGCACCAGGCTGTATAATTATTTTAAATGCTATACCGGAAATCTTTCAGCCCCAAAGACGACACAAATTTACCACTACTTCCTCCTTAAAAAAAGAAACACTTTATGGAAGTTTCTCCTGCTATGACAAGGATGTTTTTTACAATAAATTAAAGGACTGTGACAAAAGTCTTCTTTACTCATCCTGATCAAGAACAACAATGTCTTAACAGAGCAATGATCACCACTTAGATCAGGTTGGGGCTGAAAGACAGAAGTCATAAACCATTTTCATTTACAATGACCCACTTAACATTACTTTAAAATGCCTATAACTAACAAACCACTTGCTAATTTGCTACAATAATTATATGTGATTATGTTACAAGTGAAAACTACATAATAACTGTTTTTTTGTGCACTTTTCTGAACCTCTAACAAGATATAATGTCTGATTCAAAAAAAAAAATATGAGGTCTGCAATCAATTGGAGATCATTTTAAGCCCGAGCAAGAAAACAACAATTGGCATATAATTTCAATACTATTGCAACAGAACATGAAGTGAGCCATCAGCAGAACTTTTGGCCAAATAATTTTATGGGCCATCATAAAGCTATGGTTTCATTCAAAAACGTTTATATTGTAAATGAACAATACCATCAGTTAAAAAGGTAAGTATTAAAATAATTAACAATTTCACCCATACCCGTAGAACATTTTGGATTTTAAAATATTCCATTTCTAACTCTTATGAATTCTACTTTTGCCACACAATGATGTTACACTACAAAATAATAGAATATATTATACTATACTGAAATCAAAGTTAACAGGCAGATAGCTGCTTCCATTACACAATAATAGTTTATTGCGCTACCTACATCATGTATAGAGTAGTCTTTACTGTATGACAAACATTCCAACTCCCTTGCAAAGATATCATGGCCGATAATGGTTACCAATAATCACAGGTAACTTGAGATCAACACTTGTCCAAGCTGAAGGCAACACTGGCAAGCTATTTAAGCATGGTTCAACCTTGTTTTGAGCATGAATACTATACACTGACTGACCATGTGTAATTGGGATGAACGGCCTTAGAAGGATTAGGAAAAAAGTGAAGTTTACAAGATGGTGTTGCATGTATACTGACAGTTGAACAATAAATAAGACTGAGTGACCAATGTATCGTGTAAATTCAAATTTAATGTTAAATTCCTAAAATTCTGAGTTTTATTTTTTCAAAGCTGAGGTTTGCTAGCATTAAACATTCAAATGAACAGTCAAGATATATTCTTCACTTCACTCCCTTTTCCTTTGTAAATATTCTGGTAATGATTTCAATTACATTGTATTCCCCTAAAAAATGCCCTGCTTTGGAAGAACACTAGATTTGAAGAAATCGTGAAAACGTTCTCTTTAATTTAATCATTTCTTTCTAATTCACCTTTCTGTCTGAAACAGTTTAATGTTCCTCTTTTAACTATAAATTCTCATAAAATTGCCAGTGAGTAACATAGGCAATACATTACTTTTCTTATTGCCTGTAAGATCTTATCAAACTCGGTCCAATTTAAAACCGTCTGAAGAGCCTACTTCTCGTTCACTCAGAGAGGAATCATTGATAGATGGAAGGTACACCAGTAGTAATTCAGTGAATTATTTTTTTTCATGAATTCAATAGGTTGAACTGCAACTTTTTTAGGACAAAAGCAAATGAACTTTATCATCTTCCACTCTACAAACAACTTCCCCAAAGAAAAAACATGAAAGGAGAATAAATAGCTGGTCAACAAGGTTGGACCTTGCCTTGATGTGTTGTTCACATTGGTTAACAAAACATAACTTGTTAATGAATATACTTCAATAATGCCAATTGAAATGACAAATTCTCCTAGTTGTAATTGCTAAGATTGTAACAATCTTCAACTGGACCCACTGTAACGGTTCTGAGGAAAAAAACAAAAACATTCTAAGAAATGTGTAATTTAAGATACCCTCACAAGGGATCATACATGTACTTATTTTCCATTGAAAAAACACTCAGACACAACATTTTCTCAAGCCATCCTCTGTATTTCTTCTTTCATTTTGCCATACTCAGACACTGTTAGACACTGAAGTGACTTTGAGATATTCCCAACACAAGTCATTCAGTTAGCTGACATGTGATGCTTACAAGCAAAACGTTCGCCACCATAGGATGCATGTAAGTTTCCAAGCAACAATATAAAATAGTACATGCACTGGTCAAATAATAAACAAAGATGCAAAAAAAAGAAATATTCTGTGAAAGTTAGATGTCTTGTTTTGCAACATACAGACCGAACAAAATTCCCAACCTAACAAGTCTGTATATGAGTTACAATGTCATGAAAACAAGTTTTTACCTGTAATGTTCCTATAACTCCTGAAGCCATACTTGACAACTGTAGGAAAATAATATGCACAACTGTAAACAAACATTTACTCACATTTACATTTAGAAGTATTGAAAACCACGTTACAAAATATACCCACAATAATGCAACAATGCTGATTGATGTCACAGTGTTCTTGTACACCTTATCAGTGTGTAGAGAAAGACAAGTTGAACAGCACAAGGCTAGAGGATTTCATTTTCTATCTGCTGCTTGCCTGATATGTAAGTGAGGGTTTTTGGGGGGAATTTCGAAGGAAATTCATCTTACAGAAGTACTGTAAGAGATTGAATTAATGTTTAATTTTAATTTCTAATCAATTAGTTGCACAAGTAAAGAATATTTTCAGACCACCGGGTACTGAAAATGACTTTAGGGCAAGCACATCCCCGTTACAGCTCACCCAAAGCTGAAAGCAGAGAAGTTGATTATATGGAGGCATGGTGATAGGATCCGTCATTAGAAAATATCCTGTGAGAATGTGCTAAAACCAGTTGTTCTATAAATTTTTTAGAAACTGTTGATGTAGTGATCACACAAAGAAATATTAATGTTTTGGTAAGTATCACGATAAGGATTCAAAGTGATTTCCTTTATTCATCAAAGAATTTATGAAAGAAAAAGAAAACAATTTTCTGTGTTCTGTTGGAAAATATAGAAACACTTGTAATGTTCGGGAAAACCCAGAAAGGCTGAGGAACACTCGCACGCAATTCAACATGTTTCCTCAGCATTTCTCAGACTCAGACAATGTTTCTTAATACTATCTATGTCTTAAATGTTAATTCTAACCTTCCCAGTCATTCTAGCCATTCCTTCTTTAAGCTGTGAAAGATCAGCTGATGAAAAACTACCAGCAGCATCTGAAAGGAGAAAATATTGATAAACGTTAAAATAATATTGAACCTTTTACCCTATCAGGCTCACCTACAACCACATGCAATTTCTCCTGTTGTCTCCAGTGGGCATAATACATTTGAATTAAATTCTGTAGTGGTAACATATTTTAGACAGTTCCATAGTTCATTATAAGGATTTAAATTTTAATAAACAATTTTCAAGTCATCTGAGGTTTCAGTGTTGCTGTCATAATTTCATACTAACTGTACAGTGATATCTATCGAGTACTCATGCAAGCTCAATCAATGCTCCTTAATGCTCATGTGTAAACTGGGTGACAGTTCTCTTATGATGTACATGTATATTATGCACATTAACTATAAAACTAAGTCATAACAATTTCCTTACTTGATCTTGAAGGTCTGCTGTCATCATTGCCAAAGAGGTCTGCACTAGAAACACTGTTGGATCCTTGGAAACGATCCAGCCGAGACTTGATGGCATACTCCTCCTAAAATTACATATAAAGCAACACAAGACTGACTGAGTGGTTTTGGGCACTAGTGTTGTAGTGTGAACACCATCATGTAATTTACTGCCAGCTTGGAACTCTTCTAACACATGGGATTCATGAATCTATAAGAAGTTTATTTGAAACCTGATTTTTTTTTTTATTATGGCTAAGCCTTTAAGTAGGAAATCCATATTCAGCAGCTGTTTACTATACCTGGTCTGAATTTCCATGAAACTGAGCTGAGGAAATACTCTTGGCATTTCCAAACTTTCTTTGAGCTTCACCTGAAAAAACAAAAAGGTAACAAATATGGTAACGTAGATTCATAGAGGCAGGGGTTTCATTACACCTGTTCAGCAGGAGGAAAACTGGTCTTAACAGGAAGACAAAAATTTTGAACTGAAATCCTTGGTAAGAAAAACTTTCCTCTAGATGGTCAAACCAGGTAGGCAAAATCATCATCACAGCCAGTTGATTTGCCAGGTGCCTAGCCCTTGATCAAACCTCTCAGAAGGAATAATGGATTATTGTTGAGTCATGCCGTACACTTCTGATAAGCCCCCGGACTAGAAAGATATGTCCATGGACCAATATTCGCCCCTTGAAAGATTTACTTCTTTCAATTACAAGCTCCCCATGGCAGAGATTGCTTTGTACATGATGTCATTAAAGTACCCTCAGAGGCTTGTGATAACAGTGTTTACTTAATGACTGTGGAACTTCCTCAAATTTGTTTCAAATTGTTACAAGTATGTTGATCATTGAAACTGACCACTGCTTAGGAATACAAAAAAAGCTGAACAAAAAAGTTATCTTTTACCTGAAGATGAATAATCTACAGGTTCTGGATCTCTTCTTCTGTCAAACCTTGAAATGAAAAAAAAAACCCTAAATAAAGAACTTTGAATCTTTCCACAGCCAGGGCATGTATGACAAGATATGCTAGATTTCTATGTGGACAGTACACTCATAGAGCCCTTAATAGCGGAGTGCCGAAGGCACGCAAGCCGAGCCTCGTATCTTAGATAATTTGGTAGCCCATCGACCTCAAAAATTTTGCCTGTCACATGATTGTCCGTAAGTCCGTCCAGTGAAATGTCACTCTGTGACAACCTAGTTGCCAAGGCTTTATCCTTACAGTTTAGTAGGGGCAGGTTTACAGCATACATCTTTTATATTGGGCATCCATGTTACATTCAATTGATACCTGTCAAAACAAGGTATCCGCTGACCATATCGCAGTCTCATGTTTAGAGCTTATCAAGGTCTCGTGTTTTTTTTGACGTTGACCGCTGTCCACATACAGGCTTTTGGGTGGATTGCAGGTTCAAACCAGGTTAAGGTTACTTCAAACCTTCGCAGGTGTCCTCCAGAAAACAATTTGTATGCACGCCGTTTTGAAGGAAACCCCCACAAACTATATATCAATAGAAAGGTTATAACATGTAGAATTCGATAAAATTATATACCTTTTTTTTTGCCGACTGCTTTCCTAAGGCAGCAAAAGCCGTTAACGCCAATACGTCCGACTGAAATTCCGGCGAATTAATCGGTTATCAAATGCGATCGTTGATGCAAAATAACTGTGCAGTGTTGATCACAAAGCATCAATCTCTCAAAGTGTGTCAGCACTTTCTTTCATTTCTATTGGTTATCTTTTTATAGATCTGTCAAGTTCCACTATCGAAAAATCCGTGTAACGTGTTGCGTTAGAGACTGCCACAAGAAAAGTCCTTGAAATAAAAGAATTTGCCGACACGCTTGTTCCGTATCTATCAGTGAATGTTCTGGCCAAATTTCATGGAAAACCGTCAATTCTACATACCCTGTTAATTCATTTAAAGAGGAGGGATTCTCTCGAAAAACAAGTGCAAGTTTTCGCCTTCTAAAGATTTATAGACATGTCACACCTTCTCAGAGGGATATGTCAACTCAAAATACCACCAGCCAATGAAATAACAGAACCCCTAGCATTCACAGTAAGGAAAGTTGAGCTTTGCTGTAAAGCGATAGTGTTACAGTCACGTTTTTGGCGCATACGTTTGAGGCTGGTGGTCAACAAAAAAAGGGCAAAACGGAGAAAAGCGATGTGCAACAAAATGAAAAGAAACTGAGGAGCAATTGCCAAAGCGTGATTACAAAAAAGCACTCTTGACGGACATGAAATCTCAAATTAAAAGTATTTGATATAGGATCTCTGGATTAAGCCGTTTGCCATGAAAAGGTCGCTGAGGAGTCCATGCCTTTAGGGGATTATGACACCTCGACAGTTTATTAACTTTTATTAAAAAACCTCTTTTTTCCAATAACTTGCACACGTTTTAATATTTTATTTTTATTTTTTGGAAAATGCTATCTTGAATAATGAACTTTAATTTGGTTGGAAAAAAGAAAATTTGGAAAAAGTAGCCCTGCGAAGGTTTGGAGTAACCATAACTTATTGTAATCAGGAGTTCTGTTTTTAAGCTTGGCTAAATCTATAAGATAGAAAACAGCACTGTGGCCCAGTGGTCTGCGCATTTACCGTGTAACCTCTAGATGAGACAACCAGGTCGAAAACTGGTCAGGGTCATCATTGCAGTTTTGAGCACAAGCATTACATGACGAGGGTATAAAAGGCAAATTGTGGGCCAACCTGGCACACTGTCGAGGGTAAAGTCCATTGTGATTAAACTGAGCAAGATTGCTGGAAAATATTTGCACTGCTTGCCCAATTGCTCATGAAAATTTACATTTTCCCTAGAATGAAAAAGTACCAGAAAGAAAACTTGAAGGAAATAATGAAAACCATGAATAACACCATGACACTTTACCTGTCTTCACGGCTTGATCGCCTTTCACTGGAAAAAGATGAGCCTATTTCATCCCTAAACAGTAAAATATCAACAGAAAGAGATGTTCAATTGATACCTAATTACAAAAACCTACAAAGTACCTAACATTGCCAGTGATCACAGACAGAACTGTCCAATCTACATGTAAATGACCATCATTACCCAACTGTGTGTGAAACAACCTATGTGATACATTTTGTAAGGCCTCTAAAATAAAATAATACGACTTTTTTAATTTTCACAAACATGTTTTGACGGTACATCCGTCATCATCAGTGTGACGGTTATGAAAGTTTACAGTGATTTAAAACGTGCCTGTTACAAATCATACGTTACATTGCGTTGGGAAACAATACGCTAGATAAATTTTGAAGTTAACGGAATTAAATGATGCGCGTGTGCTTGCAGCTATAGGATGTACCTTCGAAACATGTTTGTGAAAATTAAAAAAGTCGTATTATTTTTGAAAATTTCTACATTTTTGCTGCTGTCTCAACCTCTAAAATAAGTATTCACTTGGTGTCCCCCTTCAAATGTTAAAATTTCTCAATCATTTCAATCTGGTACAAAATCTCAATGACATACCTATCTCTATCCCTATCCCAGGAGCTTGATCCAAATGGACTATCATACCTGCACAGAAAGTGGATACAAATTTACATTCAAACACTTACAGACAGGAAGAACAAACACAGCATTTTGATTTTGTTAATGAAAAATCTCTTTGTCTTGCATTTGATTGCCCGAGATGGTGCAGAAAATATTGATTAAATAGGTTACAGCACATTAAAACAATAAAATTTGTTTCCACAAATGAATGAAAAAAGTCACAAGTCTACGGCAGCTGGTGATGTGTTCTGCACAGTCATACTTACATGGGAGGTGGTTCAGTAAAACTTGTCCCATCCATTCCATAGCTAAAAAGAAAAGAAATAATGCCTTGTCTAAACATCCAAGAATCAACTGGAACACTGCATACAGCTGTACACCTGTCATTCCTGACCAACTGGATAACCTCACTAATGCTGGCAAACATGTCTTTACATAGAACTTACACAACTTACATTAAAGTTGTAAAGTGTCTGTAAAATGTATATTTTTAGTTAATCTACAGGTACAGTACTGCTTGAAAGTAAGTTAACACCTTTCATCTCCTTTCTCTTGAAATAAGAATCTAGTTTCATCTCATGAGACAAGGGCTCATCTTGAGAGATGAGAGTCTCGTCTCACAAGAACCAGTGAAGTGTTCAGTTTTTAATAAATTACAAGCAGTTAGCCTGTGAGGAAACAATTAACTTCTCATGACAGGTTTGTCACACTTTGTGGTGTTCTGTTGTAAATCTTCAAGAGGTCTTCGCTGAAACTTGCTTCACTAGACTCATTACTGTCATTACAAATGAAAAACTTGAATTTGGAAATAATACCAAAATGAATGCCAAGACATCAGTAAGCAATAAGATACACATAACATTGCACCTTCTCGTTGGTCCCTTTCTTTTTGTTGTTGTCAGCATGTTGAATTTGCATGTTGTGTGTGACAGCTTTTCAATCGTTACTTGCCTTGCAAGACCCATCACTATCATCCCAAATGAAGAAATTGATTGGTGCATTGAACCATGTGGTAAACATGACCATCAGTTATTCTTTTGAGCGTGTCCAATCAAATGAAGAGAAAGGCCATTGCCAGCGACCAGATCCAGAGGAGTTACAAGTGTGCAAACTACTGATACATGCACGTATTTTGAGGAAAACAAAAATCATGTTTTAAATGACCTGCAGCAGGAAGATTCCATTTACATGTATTTGCTACCATTACCTGTCAAATAAATCCATATTGGAGTTTGATGACACCCTGAGCTTGTCAGCAAAGGATGGCTGTGTCTTGGAAGGCCTCAATTGCTCAACGGTCTCCATGGCAGCTGATGCAGAATGACCTCTGCCAGAAGGGGTGGATGTCCCTTTCTTACCCCCACCTAAACCCATCCCGAGACGTTCCAGCTGCGCAGCCTTTTTGGGATCAGTGTGTCGCATCTTTTCCTCCTCTTTCTTGAAGTTCACAGGGTTGTATGCAAGGTTGGGAGACATGAGCTCTGCTTCAGCTTCTTTGGCATTCACAAGCGCTGCCTTTTCCCTGTCTTTGTCCAGTTGCTGGGCTCTGGATTCCAACTCACTGAAGTTTGTGCTCACCTACAGGGCCAATTTAAGAGGATTTATTACAGCATTTAACTACTAATGGTAAATATTGTGACTTCAGAGCTTAAAAGTAATCAAATAAAATCAATGTCCAGATTTTGCAAGACGCAGTGGCCCAATGGTTAGTGTGTTGTTTGCTCAGTTTCCAATATGAAAACTGCCTAATTTATACAAATGTGTGGTGGTAGTGCTTTATGCTAATTACATGGCTGTGCATGCTGTGCAATAAGTGCTAGTGCGAAGGTGTGACAATTGTTACATAGTGTTATGTGTAACAAATGTACTACACTCTGGCTCAAGCAGTCCAGGATTGATCCCAGGTTGGGGTCATTGTGTTCTGTTTTTGGGCAAGACAATTTTCTCCCATATTGCCTCTTCCTATAGAGTGAAAATAAGAATCGGCCAATTATTGGGGCAACCTGACAAAATGTGCAGAACTATCTAGCATGGTCAAGCATCCCAAGCAGAGGGAGAAGCAAAAGACTACATTGTGTATGAGCCAGTATAACTTTAAAAAGTTTTAAATCTTTCGTTTTTATTTCTACAGAAAATCGATACTTTTAAAACAAACCTTGGTTGCTCCTAATCCACCCTTTTTAGCTCCAAGCTACAAAAAAGAAAATACAGTGTCAGAACAACATGTTAGTAAGTACATGTATAAACACTCAAGTATGTTATAGCTACAAACTATATGACTGTATAACCTTATGACCTCAGTCCCTTCAACAAAGCCCTACACTTCCTTTTTTCTGTCACAGCAATGCAAGAGGTATTTAAATATGAAAACGTTGTGGTGATACATTTTATATGATCATTATTACCTGTACGTTCTCAAAAATAACAATATAATGATACTTAATGATAATGATATTACGTTATATACCATTAACACCAAGGAAACTAATCATTCTGTTCTTATGACCAGGACTTTGCTTCAGACAGTGTCCAGGCCATTAACAACACACATGTAATGTAAACAGTAACTTATCCTTCATAAATAATTTGAATAGTGTTTAATCTCTTTGAAAGGTATGCAAAGCTACAGCTGACTGACACATATGAATTTAAACAGGAAAAAATGAAAAAACCCACCCCTTTCTTCTTGGTAGCAGCAGGCTTTCTGGTTCCTATTGTGGGTACACGGGCATCTGTTTGGGAAGAGCATGAATGACGATTAAATAAATAAGGTTAAAATCCTTGGCACCTTACTTAATCATTTGGAATGATTTAACACCCAAAAGGTAAAAAGTTTATTTTGCAAATGCAGGAAAGTGTCTTCACTGGTGACAGGGCATATAACTTGCAAAATATTTTGGACAATTCTAATTGCAGACAATAAAATGTCCAAGAATAAAACCATCTGAAATTTTCAAGCATCCTAAATTTTAAATGCCTGAAATTTTAACAGAATAGTATAAAACTCTTAAGTGTATACTTTCTTGAGAGTAGTGGAGTCTGTCACTAGGGGACTAGAACAACAAAAAATCCTTTTGAAGATCCTGTTGCAGATCACTAAGCCACTTCAAGCTTCAAAGCTTAAGGCAACTGAAGTTTTTTGGGAGTTTTTTGAGGAAATTTAAGTTACAGATTAAGTGCTACAAGACATGACATATTTTGAGGCTACTGAGAAAGACTTTTGGACTAGTAAGTCATAGTTACAGCTTGCCTAAAAGGGCAAGCCTGAAAATTGGTTTTCTTTGTACCCTGTATCACCGTGGAGCTACTTACATGACTGTTAATACACATTGTACTGATTACTAATGATAAAATTCATTACAAATAAATGGGTCACAACAATGAGGAACTGATAACTAATGGGAAATACTGGTCAATGTTTTTCTTCTGTTTGCTATCACAAGTAGCAAATTTCATTAAGATGCAATATTATTCAAGTAATGCCTATATACAGTATATTAAACATGAGTGCACACCAACCTTGATGCTTTGGTGGAGAAACACTAAGATTTTCCATGTTTTGGCTAAGATCATTGCCTAAAGAGAAGAAGACTCAACAATATTAGAATTCTTCAATGCTATTATGGGAAAACAGATGTTACTCAGAAAAATAAGGCTCTTCTTAAATACCCAGTGAAGCAACAACAAGTTCTAACAAGGCAGTGCAGTGATAAAGTAAGATGTGTCAGGAATAGGAACACAACACAACTGAAATTCTACCCAAATTAAACATTCCATGCTAATTGCTTAGCTTTACACAAAACCACTTACACTGTCTCAGATTAGCTGTAACATACATATGAGAATTTTGAAAACCCAGGAATGGCTGACCAGGGATATCACTCAGCTCCCATTTTGGAATTTCTTATTCTTCATTCCACTTACCAGCATTGTTTCCATTCTTTCCATTTGTTGGTATCACAACAGTCTGCTGAAAAGACTGACTCTCTACTTCTTTGAAGAAATCATGATCTTTACGATCAGGAGAGTTGGGTGTATGTGGACCATGGTGACTATCCAAATGAAGCTGAAGTTATAAGAGAAAATAAGGTTTATGGCATAATAAAAATCTGTTACCTAGTGACCTTAGATACATTAAAATATGCAGAGTAATTACACTTTCACTGGTTTTGCTAACACTGCACCAGTGAGCTTTGCAATAGAAACAGATATTTCACCCTAAGTACAGCCAGTGTATACATGTACCGTCATTTCTATACCACACACATCTGATGAAGAACATTTTAAAGAAATCTAGACATTTAAGCCAAACTTGACAAATAGCAGTATTAACTTAATCCTAGAAGTACTATAAAATACACGTTAGTACATGTTACAAGCGTCTCAAATTAAATTAAACATATCAGTCAGAATGAATACTGGAAAAGTTTACAAAACTGTGCCTAAATTTTTGTTCATGTTTGAACTACTGCTGAGCAGCTAAGGATTTGTAATAAAACTTCTCCCATTAGTTTACATAATGGTTACTCTTCCCAGCCCTGACCTGGGTTCCATATTGTTGGAAAGCTCTTGCTGCTAGTGTTGCTAGCTTTTCTCTGTACATCTGGGCCACACGACTAAATAAAAGAAACCACAGGAAAAATCAATAAAGCAAAAACCCTTCATCTTGCTTTCTTGAACAGATACAGTAAATTAACAACATAACTTATAATCTCAAAGTACACTTATGGTAAAAGCAGTGGAGGTTGAATTGATTTTGACTAATCATTTACAACTACAAAGAGTTGAAGTAGTTATTCCAGATTTATCTCACAGAAAATTCTGCATTCTTGCTCAGTAATTATTTTGAACCAAATGCAGAGAACAACAAAACAAGACATTTAAATTGTGGATTTACCCCTTGTATTTAGCAGCTGTATCTTCAGTGGAGAGACCATGCTGTCTAAAGAAAGCATTCTGAATAGAGATAAAAAATTAATACAATAATTGCAACAGAAGCAATTATTGATATCAATGACATTGATAACATCAGTGGCATCACTGTATGAGTGATAAATGGGTAATCAGTTGATTGGTCATTGATGACTACCAATACATTGATGAGTAATCAATGAATATTCAATAGCCCACATAATTTTTGTTATCGATTAGTCATTTACCAGTCATTGGTGATATCGATTAGTCATTGATATAATCTTGTTGCTACAAAACCATACCAAATCAAAAATAAAGTAATTCTACTTGCTTTTTGGCTATTCTCATAGCTGGCATATACAATATAATAAATGAGAGACAAGTCTTAGACTCCAACATGTATGAATTCAGTTACTTTCCCCATTTAACCTTGCAGGTACAATTCCTCTTAGCACATTATCTTCACAAACCATTCACAGAGAGATATAGAACAGGAAAAAAAATCAGTTACAATACAGAAGAAAACGCCAGAAAATTTTAATTGATATGTAGCCCATAATAATAAACAAAGAAAAATAGAAGTGGTTTCACAACTTCGTAGGAGTACTCGATACAAATACTCGAGTGACTATAGTTTCTATCTTAATTTTTAACCCATAATGATATATATGTGATCAACAGGTTAGACTAAACACTTTCAAAGTATCATACATGTAGTTACCAAGCAAAATCTCAACGAGCAATCTTTGGTAGGATACCTTAGATTTGATTTCAACAGCTAAGTCCTTCAGTCAAAAAAGTAAACAACATGATTACATAACTTTTAGGGGAAATTTTTTTTGGCAAATATTAATATTTAAAAATTGCACTGGTCAACAGGTCATTTGGAAAATGAATAATCTCTTTTTCGTGAAGAAATGAAATTGATCGCAAACGGCTGGCTCAACAAAACGGATCAAACAAAATGGTGGCTACAGATGTCGCTAAAGTTCAATCCTAAAATTCATTCGTCACGAATGAAAACAACGGTGGTTTGAGAGAAACAAGCCTCCGATATGAGAAGGTTGAATGAAACAAAACCAATCCACAATGCCCGAGATTGGAATCACGTAATTACGTTTACAGTAAAGAGAGGATTCCTGGCCACAAGAGAATTGTTAACTACAATGTACACGACAAAAATCTATTAGAAACCACAACATAATTAAAGTGCGAGGACAGCCAAAATATGCAACAGCACACGGGAAGGATAATGGCAGTAATGACTTCTCTTAAAAAATTCAATTAGAGGGTGAATTATATGTTCGAGTCTTACCGCTTTCGCATTGCCGCCAACTTGCATCGCTCTTAACTGTAGCCATGTCCAATTTGTATCCAGTTGCGTCGACCTTTAAACAACACAATGAAACGTCGAAAAAAGCAGCCTTAGTCTTTTATTTAGTTGTGTGTTACAAAATGAACAAATGATTCGAACAAAATTCGGCAGGAGCATCTACCGCTCGATCACATTTTCTTGTCTTTTTCTTGTAGAAATTACTCTCAGGGCAAGATAACTACTGTGAACATATACCCGAGATATTTTCCTTACCTAATGAAGGTCAAGTGAACACCGAGAGATCGATGAACGGCCGAGCAGTCTATACATAGAAATACTCCGTAAGTTACTGATGCCCACGTTGGATTGTTATGTCCGCAATCAAAGCAAGTCTAAAAACAAAAGAGGACTTCTATAGTGAGGAAAGAGTTGTCTATGGGCAGAAGAAAAATTTTCATAAAGACATCTTTACCTTATTATCAGGAAGAGTTTTCAACCGCTTGAATATAATGGCGATGTCTTTCGGACTCACAACCGCATCCGCCATTTTCTTCTTCCGAGAGAAGTTTGGAAACGTCATCACTAAACGATGTCACGTGGTAAGATTTATTTTGAGTGAGAAACTGGACTCTATTTAAGCATGATAACGAGGCGACTGCAACCCGCCAAAGTGGCGGGAAAATGATTTGAGTCAAAAATTTTGTCTACAAAAATCCTTACCGAGGAGGAAACAGGCAAAAGTCTCGTAAATTTAAGTTATATGTTGCCACCACAGCTTCATTGTGGATTTACATTCTCAACACCATGCTAGTTCTCATTCGCCAAGAGAGGTGACATTCACGAGATGCAATCCCAGGCCCACAGACAACTGAAGCATCATATTCAGCAACCGTTATTCAAGCTGTCTACAAGCTCAGTTTCCCAATCTCCTCCAACATCAGCTTCGTATTTTGCGAGCCCAAATGTCAACAAAACTGCATATCATGGACATCAGTTAAACATCAGGCCGGTCAACTCACCTTCTAACACCTATTTTCGCCAAAACAACCCAAGGCAGAAAGAAAAAGGTAGCTGCTAAAGTTTCTTTTAATTCTACAAGCTAATAAGAATTTTTTAGGCCGAAGAAAACCAGAGTTTTGTGTAAAAAAAAAGACAACTGAACTTATTTGTTTATATAAGCAATATTTAATACCACTTTAACATGCAGAAACAGAGAAAGTGGAAAAAGACATGGCGCAATCTGCAGAAAGAATTCATACCTTGCACACTCGCCTTCATCAAGAAGCAGAGAAAATAAGAAAGTGGGAAATGTCCACAGAGATAGAAATAAAAGAAAAGGTAAAAATGTTTGTCATCATACTCTTTTCCTTTTGTCTGGTCTTAACTGATTTTGATACGGCCAAAGGCAATCCTTTTTCCACGTATTTTCCGGACCTTTTTATTTTCCCCTTTTTGTAGGAGAAAAAACTACAGGAAGCTGTCCAAACAATCGATTCTCAGAGGAAATCAATCCTCGATTTACAGGTTAATACACTGATCTACATTTGAATTAACTGTAGTTTACAATGCAGCAGACCATAGTAGCATTTTCATCCATTGTCATCTACAGTTTGTGATCTTGGCATTTTTCAACTTGGATTTTTTTAGGTAAACGTTGGGGTGGGGTAAAAAGGGATCTGATGATCAGCATAAACCTCTACTGAAGTCAGTCTTATCTTTTCTAGGGAGATAACTTCTGAGTTCTCTGCTCTTTAACATTGGAAAGTTTCAAACTTTCTGACGATTTTTTCCCAAAACTTGATTTACGGTGTGGATTCACATATCATTACACCCCATTTTTAGAGCCTGTATAGAGCGGTTTTCAATTGAGTGTCGAAAGTAATCAGGCAAGTACTTTGGTTTTTGGTTTTACTACGGTTTGGGATTGGCTGAGTAAGTCATTGGTTTAGTTTTGGTTTTACGATACTCAATTGAAAACCGCTCTATCACTTGACATTAGCCAATGTAAAATAACTTGACCGGCCTTGGCTTAAAATCACATCGATCGTTACAAACTAAGAGGCTTATCAAAAGTCAATTGTAGACTGAAAAGACTGGTATGCTGGTATGGAATGCCATCACTTATGCTCTTTTGTGGGATTTATGAGGACTTAATACATTCAGGTGGCTACAAAAACATAACAAATGTCACAAAAATATATCATATGATCAGAAAATTTGAACAAATATTGTTTCTTATGATGCATATATGACAAAACGTTGAAGAGGTATAGAATTAAACCTTTTATTCTTAGCTATAGTCATAGTCCGTGCTTTTGATTCACAGTTCCAGAATGAAAGTCTTAGCTCGAAGCTTCAAGAAGAGCTTGCAAGTAGAGAGGAGGTCGAACACAAGTAAATTAATACACTATACGTTCAGTTATTTCCTTTACAGGCACCATTACATATTTATCTTCCAAATCCAATACACATTTTATGTGAAAGCTATACTAAAAAAGCCATTTACATCCTTCTTAGAATTGTTTCTACTCGAGATATGTGCAACGCACTGAAAGATCATGTTGCGAAAGTGGAGGAAAATATACATAGAGGTAAGCTTTTAACCCTATTTAGCCTGTTTTTGTATTTTGTTCGTGACGGTCGTACTGAAGAACCTGCTCTTCATTTGCAACTTAGTCACGTGACCTTTGCGGATGTCCGATGATTGTAGCTGTGCTGGAAATCGTCTAGTCGCGTTTGTAATTTTCCATACATTTGTTTGTAAATTTTTACGCGGCTTTACAAGTTCGCGGAAAAAATTATAGACAAATGTATCCATGGACATTTAATGACGAGACTGGACTGAGACATCCCTTAAATTTGGTTGATGCAATCCTTTGCCTCTTATCTCTACTTATTCATAAATCGTTCAAAATCCAATTTTTTAAAGAAAATTGTTTGCCATGCATGGGATTCCCATATAAACATCGTAATTTTTGATGAGCTTTGCCTACCCATCAAGCTTTTAAAACCGTGATAGGTCTCTACTTTACAACTGTCAAACCTTACATGCCATCGCGGCACATCTATGAATATGCAATGTCAAAACTAAAACTCGTGAATATCCTGTACCGTCAGTTACAATTTGAACTAATTAAAAGGCGACACAAATGTACTTGCATTCAGTGTAACTAAACTGTAAGTAACAGTATGCTAGTTCAGCCAAGGTGCATTGCTGTAAGTAAATTAGCTAGTGTATTCACTAATTGGCTGGGGAAGGAATTCATCATCATCATTTTTTTTTTTTTTTTTTTAAACATGCCTTCTCGCAGGGGAAGCTGATCGCGACGAACTTCGATTTGAAGATAGTAAGCGCATTGAACAGTTCCAGGTGAGAACATGAATTTTTATAGCAAATATAATTTGAACGTTAAATCCCGGGTCCCCTCCCACTAACACGACCATACCATAAAAATTTAAAGGTCTCTAGAAAGTTTCACTTGGAAAACTACGTTTAAATATGATACCTGGATTTCTCTCAACAGGAATTGGTAATTAGGTTTCAGGATCTTCAGATTGAACACACAGCAAAGCACAATGAAATGAAAACTAAATGTAAGTCGTAGTCTTATTCTGCTCTCAGTTTTTGGAGTCATTTAACCTGGGAACAATCCGGAAAGGAAAGGAGAGCCTTTTTAACTTTCGCTCATTTTATTAATTAGTTCATTCATTTAATTCCTTGATATTATTTATTGTCCTTTCAGTTGAAGAACAGAGACAGGTGCATGAAGAATTCGTCATGGACTATACGGAAAAACTGGAGAAAGCAGAGAGTCAGGTACGTAATAAAATATAGTGCAATAAGACTACGTGATGAAAACAAAGAGTCGTTTCGAATGGCCTTTTAATTACTTGGTTCTAAAAACGTCTCTCATAGCGTAATTTATCGTTGCACTAACATAGATTCAACTTCTTGAGAATGACACGAAGAGAAAGGAGACACAAATTTCCACCATGGAAGCAGCTTTGGACAAGAGCAAAGAAGAGTCTACTTCATTGGGGCATGAGCTAGGTAATTTGCTCTGATTTTATCGGCGTCACCATAAACCAGTTTATTACTCAGAGCCAGTTTCTATCACTAGAAATCAGAACGCGCAAAACCGACAAATACATTCTGAGATATCTCTACTCTTATATTTGGTTAGGTATTTGTACTCAACATACTTCCCCAACAGCGGTGCATATTTCCGACCACTGGTTCAGTCGAACGCATGAGTTTCTCTATTTTATTTTACAGCCTTATTACAGGATAAACTGAAGAAATTTGAAAGTATCATCACCTCGCAACAGGTCCAAATACAAAATACAGAGGAAATGTTGTCTTTTAATAAGGTTAGAACAAGAATAAATAGTCGTCTTGCATGGTCCTCTTTAAAAATGGCAGAACATAATCGCATAGAGAAATAACTCTTTAAAATGATTGAAACGTTCAACTAGTTCCTGTGCATGTAAAGAAAATAATCTTCTATATTATATAATATTTTATATTTTTCCCGTAACTATTTTAGGAGGAATGCAAGAGGATCGAACAGGAGCGCAATACCATCCAATTACAGTTTCAGGATGCCCAACAAGCGAATCAAACATTAAAAGATAATAATCTTGATATGAAAAAGGAGCAAAGACAAGTTCTAGATGAGCTGGAGAAACAGCTTTCTTCTTTGATAAGTGAAAAAGAGAAACTGGAAGAGAGGCAAGTGACTAGTACCAGTAATACCAAACTGACGCGGTGGAACAAACCGAAACAATCCAAGGGAAAAAAAGCACTCGTTTGTAACTCACCCCATTTCTTTTTTCCCCAAATTATGTAATGACTTGTCACAAGATAGTTAAGAATAGTTATAAAAAATTCAAGATCCGGCATTAACTATGAATGACGAGCTGTTGGTTCAATTTTTGACTTATCTTTTCATTTAGTCTTCTAATTCTTTTCTCTCTAAAGCCTTCAAAATCTTACCAGAGTAAACGAAACAACGACGGAGGAATTGACAAATCTGCAAGTTAAGCTTGGTGAGTTTTACACTGAAAGATTGCAAGTCAGAAGCCTCTTTATTCAATGGGCGAAATCACTCGTAATAAGTAAAATTAATACTAAAAAGGTTTGAAAGATTTACTTCAATATTTTTTTAAAAACGTTTTGGTAGTTTTTCTACCTTTTTTAACTTACTTATTTCATCGTCTTTAATACTGCCACGCAGTATTTTGAGCTTTTGCTCTTGTTATCAATGGAAATTACACATACACTGACACTGGACAAATTGCTACTACCAGGGCAACAATAGAGTCAATGTTTTTCCTGTGACTCATTTTCATCAGGTCAGTGGCGAACTATAATCTAATATTTTTAAATGTTTAACTTTTCAGAGTCTCTGACAAGAGAGAAAGAAAAAGTAGACACCTTAAACGAAAATATTCTCAAAGAAAAGGTGAGGTACTCACAAAACTCTTTAATGTATCTCAAACAGGAATGTATTTCAAACACGAAAGACCGCGTTCGACGACATTCACAAACACCGAGGAGAGAGTTGAAAATACGACGCGTAGCGGAGTATTTTTGACGAACTTCGAGGCGTTTCGAAATGTGGTCAAACGTTGTCTTGAGTGTTTGATATATCTTCTCAATCGAAACTAAAACTAAGGAGAAAACGTAGAAATAAAATCGTAAAAAATCTACGCTAATTAAGATCAGATATCCAAACACCGCCACGGTCATGATTTCCCTTGTTTAAACTTTATGAATTATTAATGAATTTGAGAATTCCATTTCAAAGTTTTTACGACGGAAAAGGGAAATATTTTGCCATCCTTACTGAGTTTATTCTTCACTTAACGAACATTTCAGAATGAGTTGATGAAAGCTTGTGGAGACCTGCAGACCAGCCTTTCAAAAGAGGAAGAGAGGGTATTCTCTAAGGGAGAAATGGTACGGCAATCAAAGGAAAAGCTTGCTCAATTACAGGTAATAATTATTTAGCCTTCCGACACACATTTTGTGCTCGCCTTGTCCTAGAACAGATGACTAACGATAATCTAATTGTTAACTAGATGTTTTCAGCAATAAATTGCTTGTTGCTTTAGGAAACAAACTCTTCTTTAACGAATGAACTCGACCAGGTGAACAAAAAGAAAGAAGAATTAGAGGAAAAGCTCCGACTTTTAACACTTTCCTCCGAAGAAAAGCAGGTAAATACAATTCAACATTTATTCATCAATGTGAAGATCGCTTTTTGAAAGTCTGGATTATTTATTACTAACCAAGTTTCCTTTATCTCAGAGGACTATAAGTGATCTTGAGGGCAAGATCTACAAAGCAAATTACAGTCAGAAATACTTAACAGAGAACGTGCAAGATCTTCAAACAAAACTGGAGAATGAAAGGTGCCACATTGACATACTTAAAGAGAGGGTGGAACTGAATTGCAAAATGTTGAGCTATGCAATTCAATGCAGACTCCAATGAGTAACGTTGAAAAAAAATAAGTGTTTCCCTTTGAAGTGGTGTTTTGTAGCCAGAAAAGTACATATATGTGGAAAATACTCTAACTTTATGTAGAAAATACAGTGTTAAAATGCACTCGTTTCGTGAAGGACAAATTAGAAGAAGACCGTTTACTTTTACCACATAACACTGCCAAGCAAAATAAAATTACAACCTTCGAATCATAATTCATGCGACTTCCGCCTGTGTTCTTAGTCTAAGATGTATCATATTGCCCGTAATCCATTGAAATTATTTATTTAGGATAAACAATAAAGTCTTCTTGTTGCAGAAAAGAAAAAGAAGAACTCCAAAAGTCTATTGAAGACTTTAAGGTATGTAACTAATTTCTATTTGATTATAAAATGAATGCTTACCTCTCCAATTTTCCTGCAGCATTGGTGTTTATTGGGGTAAACGTAACTTAAAACCAATACTATACTTTCGTATACCCATTTTATTGGTTTCGAATATATGTTTTTAATTTTCTTTTCACCAAGGCCTCCGAAAGAAAACGAAGGGGTGAAATAGACGCTTTAGAAGAAAAAATTGCAGTACTGGAAAAGAGTTTGAAGGTACTTGGATTTTTTGTTGTTGTTGTTGTTAAATTGTTCCAAGTTTTCATCAGTAAAATGTAGCTGTCACATAATATTTAATATATTTATTTGTCATCAGGGTGCTTCACAACGTGAAAAAGAATCAAATGAGCTAGTTCAGAAACTTCAGGAAGACTACGAAAGACTGCAGTGAGTTCCTAAAACGCACAGCACTGCGCAACTTCTTTTATAAGAGTCAAGTATCTCAGCTGGCAGTATGACTTTGGTGGTTGATCCACTGAAGATACAGCAAGGCTGAGCAAGGGGAAAACCTACTTATTCTCTTCACTTTTCTTTCAACAGGAAAAAATTCGAAAAAATGGAGCATGATGTAACGGTACAAGACGAAGAGAGGACAACGAAATTAGAAAAAGAAAAAGATAGCGTGAGAGCATTTTTCACCTCTGAATTGAGTTTTACGTTTGTTTTAGGTAGGACATCGACTCAAATAAGCTTTATCATAGATTGACGAACTTGTTTGATTGTTTGGCTTTATAACAGATCCGAACTTTAAAAGACGATCTCAAAGACAAGGCAAAGAAATTGGAAAGTCTAGAGGCTAAGGTGAGCAAAATGCTAGCAAACTAAGATATATATTCTTTTTCTACAAACTGACGCTTTTGACGGCTAAGAGCGTTTGTAAAAGTATTTATAAAAGGGAGATCTAATAATAATAGATTATATTTTTCTTATGATTTTTGAGAAACGTCGCACGCCTAAATCTTTAATTCCATGAATTCTGCATGAAGCTTGAACGTTGATACCAATGCTAGTCGCAGAGACAGCTAAGTTGTTCCGACAGACGGGACTGCATGGGGGATAACATTACGAGAGTATCACGACAGCCATCCCAAATTTTTACATGTGCTGTACATTTCCTCCTGTTAGACAAAAAACCTTCAGGATCAACTTGCAGCCAAAACAAAACAAACAAAAGAAACTCAGCAAGAGGTGAGTTTGACTAAACTTTTCTTCTATACTGGTTTTCTTAGACATGTAAATGCTGTGCATTGATGTTATTACCAGTATTTCTTTTTTTGCTTATACCAGAACAAGACGCTTAAAAGCAAGGTTACTTCTCAAACTAAGCAGCTGGACAAGTTAGAAAATCAGGTATAAATTCGTAGCTTATTGTTATTTCGCCTTGTAGGGTTAACTACCGACACCTGATATGTGCACATTCTGTGTATGGCAGAAATCCAAGTTATCCAACGAACTTGTTGCCTACAAGGATCAGATAAAAGATGTAACAGAGAAGGTGCGAAGAACAATTTGGATATTGTAATTGTTCGTAAAATTTCATGCAATCTATTTTACATACGACTGTCGAAGTTAAATTTAAGCCATACGTTGATAATATTGACATTTTGTTTGGTTTTTACTGGAAGTTGAATCAAAGTAACGAAGATTTACAAAAAGCAAGGAGCCACTGTGAGGACGTTGACGGACAGGTACTGTTATTACATCACTAGATTCAGGAAGTTCATTCTCTGCGACCAACTTTTCATATCATGCCAATAGCAGTTCTTATGAGCGATTGTATGATTACGGATTGAACTCACCCCTGACCAAGATGTTCCATTTCCTTCTCTAAGTCATGTCTTGGCTCTGAGTGCTACCACCTAAACTAACTAGGCCTGCACTCTGCGTTCGTGGCTTTGTCCTGATGAAGTAAAACATTTGTATTGTCTTTGCCAACCATTCGAACATAGCCTGCACCACGAAAGATTATACTCAGTAGCTTTTTTGCTGATGAAAAAACAACAGTAAAATTGATAGTTCATCAAGTCTGTTAGTCTGCACGGGTGAGGGTACCTCTGAAAAAGGACTATTGCTGGTGACTGGTGTCACAACAACTGAGATGAAGTCATCATCAGAGTCAAATAAAAAGTTCACGACCTAGTATTTGCATCATTGTCCTTATACTCAACCTATGCAAAAGGAAAACCAATTTCTGAGCTCAAGCTGTAATTATATGGTGTACTAGCACGAAAGCTGTGTATTGTCGTGTGTCAGGTAAAGTTATCAGTGCCATGATAAAAAAGTGGTACGTAACTTAGGCTGATATATATTATTGGTGACAGTATTGATACTAGCTCAATACAATTGGTTGTTACCTTACAGTTGGAAAGTACAAAGAAAGAAATGACAAAGAAATCAAAAGCATTGGAAAAAGCTGAAGAAGAAGTAAGGCCATCTTGTTGCTAGTTGTCTATTTGAACGAGTAAACCGAGCACATTTTTACACCCTTTATGAAAGTAACTGGGTGCTAATAGCTGTAGCATCACTACATCGGTATAATTGTTTTAATTAGTGACTTTTCTTCGATTTCTGTTCTTTCTTTTCGTTGCAAAAATCTTTGTCATTTTTTAAATACTTCATACAATTTAATAGGTTCGACAATTTAAAAAGGAAAAAGAAGAGGCTATACGAGACAAGGAAAAAGTCCAAAAGGAATCTGAAAAGCAGATGAATGAGCTGTGTGCAACGCTGGAGAAGTACAAGGTAGATCTGTTACCTTACATATCGTTCATAGAATTACAAACGCAAAAATTAGCCTATGACTAAATCAATTTTACAACCCTCAACAATTGGTTTCTAGAATGTGAACATTTTCTGTGAGAAATAGTGTAGCACTAGGTAACCTGTTACCAGATCAAAAACTCGTACATTTGAGCGAAAATTGGTGTTCCAAAGGAATGAATTCTCAGCGAATGTCCATCGAATAATTACTCCAGGTTGCTTAAATGCACGAGAAGTGCTGCTTTGTAATTGTTCAGTCCTCTAAACGTCCTCCTTATTCTGCTTTCTTGATCAGTTGGAAAATGAGAAAATTGTAGCCCAGAAAGAGCGAGAACTGGAACTCTTGCGTGTTAAAGCAGAGAAAGAATCTCAGGAGCAACATGTAAGTACCAAATTAGTGGGAATAACGCTTCACTATCTGGCAATAGCAATTTTGTTATAGTAACCTAAATGTGCATAGTTTCTTCGTAAGGTGTCTCGATAAAGTATTTCCTGGACCATATCTGGTATTTCGAGTCAGCTTTTTGAGTCTTTGCTCAATAAACTGAACTGAGTTTGACTTATATTTTCGTGGATAAGATAAACAAAAATAATAATTTGTATCTCAACTTTCTCGATGGTTCAAACGCCGCCTCTAAATCGTAAAATCTGACAGGGTACTTAGGCATTCAGTTTTAATGAAACTTTGGGATAAAATTATTCAGTTTGCATTAACAAGCATGGGTGATGAACGTTTCGAAACAATCAAACCGTCTACAAGACGTTGGAAGAGTGCCCTAAAACGTTATAGTAAACCTTAATCTCTTCCAGTAATTGGTAGAATTTTCTCATCAATCAGATTGAGGTAAGATTAATGAAAAGCTTATGGATAATGCTAGGTATGGCTCAGAAAAATTAAACACGGTATCGAGACACCTTAACAGCGGCAGCTCATTTTCATACAGGAGAAGCGACTCATTGAAGCCAAAGAGCAAATCGAAAACCTTGAGAGGGAAGTGAAACGACTAAAGACAAATCAGGTAAAAATCTCATCGAAGGCTTTAATGTCTGTTCTCCCAAAGATATGTTCTTACTCCCAGAACTCTTGGAAACACGGGAAATGTATTCTATTTCTTAATTTGATTTTTGTGTTGGCTCACCGCAGGAAAAGGATAAGGAGAGATTAGAATTTGAAAAATCTGAAACCGTCGCTACCCTGACAAGACAGTTGGAAGCAAAGGTACGGTACGGCAATGTTTTAAATTTGAAGATATTATCAGCCAACAATCGTAAATATTGTGAATTCTCATTAATTCTTCTTTTCTTCTAAAACGGGCGTTACCCAGATCATTTCAAGCCTTTCTTTTGACATTTGATCTTTAGAATAAAGAGATTATGCTACTGCAAGAAAAGGTCGTTGAAAACGAAATCAAGGTATGACGAGTTTACTGACAATTTTTCCTATTCAGTTGTAAGACCTTGTAATCTTGTAATGCAGCCTACACGATTGTCACTGTTTAAATACATCTCAACTAAACGGTCGTAAAAGCAGCAGCCTAACAGCAATTTTTAAAATGGAAACAACATTTTTCATTTTACAAAACATGTTTCGACATTCCTATGTCATCTTCAGTTGCAAATGTTCGACGGTTGTACATTTGAATTTTCACTGTATATATGGTTACGTTTACATCTCAACTGTTATTAGTGAATCTCAACTATTGTTACGAAAATAGTATAAATCTGCTGATCGCCAATAACAACAGCAATATTTTAGTATGTTCTAAAACTGACAGAGGGCATAGTTCTAGCCTGTGTAAATCCGCCCCCTCCCCTCAAAAAAATCGGGAATAGAGGCGTCTCTCTCCCCGATTTTTGTCAGGGGAGGGGTAGGGTGCACACAGACTACATAGACCAAGATACTGTATTATTATAATTTATGAAGTTAATGACATCTTATTTTTATGCAGTGCGTGCTTTAACTTGTGCATTGCATAAAATCAGAAATCCCCATTATGAGGCAACCGATTCTACTCAGTTATTTTTTATCTTAATTAAGCCACTAAAAAGCCCGAGAACAACATCCTCTGACGAAAAACTAACAACGCCGAAACCGATGAATCGTAACACGACAACAGGGGATTCAGCGGTGGTCCCTGAAACTCCAAAACTGCCACGTGGTATACTCAAGCAAAACGATGTCTCTCAGAAAAAGAGGAGAGTGGCCTTTGCTGGCTCAGACGAGCAACGTACATCATCAGAGGAGGAAGGAGACGAAAAACAGGTGTTAAACTTTATTAGTTTTTTTTAATGTTTGCCTTATATATTTTACCTCTGTCACCCTTATGGTGCTTTTTCCACTTCAATACCGAAGCTAACCTACCGCGTAAACTTAACAGGTTGAATCAGTGACTCCAAAATTTGAAAGAAAAAGAGTCAGCGAAAAGGAGAATCAAAAGAGTACACCACGAGCGAATGTTAGATTTTCACCAAAGCCATCTCCTTGGAACAATGAGCCGCCACGTGAAGAGAAATCCCCATTCACGGAAGTGCAAAAATTGAAACAAATTCCACGAGGCAAGCCAATGGTTCCACAGAAACAGAAGAAGGTACTGAAAGTAACTCTACAATGTCAGTGGTTTGTTTTCCCGCCATATGGAAAGGGAATGAATTTTGTCTGTATGGCATGGATTTTACCGAATCACTCACTTTTGAAGCCATTGACCATTAATTAAGTTGCAGCTCCTTTTCTTTGTCATTCAGCTTAAAATCCAAAGTGAAGAATCTGAGGAAATAGCGAAATTCAAGGAGTTGTTTCCCGATATGAAAAGTCCAGAATCCCTCTACGATAAATCTCCGGTAGGTTAAATACGCCAATAAATTTGTTAAAACTTAACCAATGAAAACTGTTGATAATTTGCAGAACTAAGACCAAATAAACCAGAAGACATTTTCACTCAGTACTTTATAGCACTCACATATTCCGCAGGGAAGGACAAAAGCAATGTTCACCAGTAAACTGATCCGTTACTCCGTATTCTCAATTTTGTGAGGTAAAGTCCTCCTAAAATATTTCCTCAATGGATTCAGCCGGCTTATATATATCAAGAGATTATGATCATAGTCTCTTGTATATACTATATAATGATTATTGTACTGAAAGGTTGAATCAAATACCACTGAACTGGTGTATCTGAGCAAAGTCACTACAATTACTATGAACTCGCGGTAATAAAGACTGAATGCGATGTTTCTTTTTCCAGGGCAAAGCACGTGGACGTGGTTTACACGAGACGATGAAACCTCCATTCAAGAGCAAAATTACTAAGATCAAACCACTTTCACGAAGAAAGAAAGACAAACAAGAAAGTACTGCTTGGTTTGACTCTGATACACTCTTTGGGTTTGGAATGGATGATGAATAAACAAAGCATGAAGTTGGGAATGATTTTTTAAAATGATTAAGTAATCAGTTGTCATACTTTGTATTAGTAAATTACGATAATCGTTTGCAATCGCCATGACATTTGTAAAATTACTGATTAGGTTCAATTAGGTTTTTTAGCTTCAAGGACCAGAGTTGCGGTATTTGCGACAATTAAAAAGCAAATAAAAGTGTTAATGGCGTGATATTCAATTATTTGTTGCGGCAAAGCGAGAAACTAGCCTTTGCTTTTGCATTTTAGAACAATTATCTGTTTCACTAGTTTGCATACGTTTTCAATGGGATTTCCCTTACATTGACTCTCACATAAGCAACTCTGCAGAGTTATGGTCATATCAGGACACCTATTTTACAATAGGATTTTGAGCTCGAGATTTCTTTGAGGTGATAGTCGATGTAGAAATCAAGAGCGAATAGTCTTATCATTTAAGTAGAATTCTAACTGAATTTTTCCGTGAAATAACGATTTCCAAATATTGCTCTAAGTGGTATTAAGCTCTACGCTTTAGAAAAAGCGCGCACACTGAAATGTCGTTTGAAATTTTGCAATTGTGTTCACGCGCAACAGTTTTGTTTCAACAATTTCGAGTTTTTTAAGTCAAGAAACCGTGAGTGTTCTCAGGAATTCAATTATCATTTGTTCCTAAAAGTTCTCCCGGAACGTCGGAAAAACGAGAAAACGCCGCCATTTCGTAAATGACCCACGTCCACTGCACACTGCCCAGCCAATCACACTACAGGATTTGGATAAGTATACGAGTAAAATGCCACTTAAAAGAAGTATGACACAACAGCAGCAATACAACGTACGTTTAATTGAGATTTCTAATAAAAATTAAAGCAATCAAATAATCCTGGATCGCAGGGTAATGGAACAAACAGTTTGGATAAATTTTCCATCGGGAATGTTGACAGGAAAAGGTATTATAATTTTACCAAGTTAAACAATCATAAGATAGTGATGAGCTAGTATGGACGGCAGCTACATAAGCGGTGAGAAGAAAGAACAAAATGCGAATAATCGCGATTTTATACATCTTTAACAGGCGTCTAGTTTGCCTTCCTTTTTGTTTGCCGAGTAGTCAGATATGATAGCCTGGCGATGCTTTTATACGTCAGTAAGCATGCTCATCTTCAAGCAGTTCTCGCTACCTCACTCTTGTCAAAGAGATTCCTCACTATGTTAAAATGCATGCGCAACTAAATAATGACAACGGCCGTCTGTCTGTTTCCTTACTACGTTGAAATGCGTAACTAAATATTCAAAAACGTCTTTTACCTCAGTCTTTGAGATGACACGTATTTAAGCCAAAACATGCCTATCACGGACACGACTAACTAACCTTTCTAACAACATACATAGTCACCTTACATGTGTCCTACTAATAAATGCTTGCTGTTATGATACCTCAATACCAATGAAGCCTACAAAAAAATCGCTAAAAAGACTAAAGTTCTCTTAGAACTTGAAGTCCTTTAAATATACCATATATTATGCTACCTTTTAGAACTCAAAGTTATCAATGATGAACCCAAAACTACCTTAATCTATAAAGAGGCTAACGGGGTGTTGTGAAACATTCTCACAAATCATCCAATAGGGGAGAGTTGCAGTACTTGTGCTGCTGAATTTATGCCATACGCCACAATCGACACTTGCTTCTTGACTTCCTCTCCGGAAACTAATCCCTTTCGTGCGCGATCAATGGCATCCACCACCCCTCCGTACCAGCTGTAGTAAATGTTCGGGCTATGCGTCAAAACCACGTGTCTAAAAATACAGAAGTGCTTACATCAGCGTTCTAAAGTACGAGCAGGCCAGAAGGTTGTTCAATGTGAGGTCACAATGAAACCCTATTGGAAATCAAATGAAAACCCGAGAGTTTCTCGAGCTTACTGGTGTTTGTAATATGAAAAACAGATAAAAAAGAAAATCTCTTTGTCAAGAAAACCGATATTGTTGGTACATTACTTCTCCCTACGGTAAGACGCGGGGTAACGCCTGTTAAACTGTGTATGGCCGTGTTTACATTTGAGCTTTTACCAAGGTAAACAGTCACTAAGGTCAAGTTACTTATCCTTGGTACATTCGTTCAGTGTTTATTCCGGCTCAAGTAACTCAAGTTGATCTTTCAACATTCGCGCGCGCTGCATTAACAACGTCATGAAATCGAACTTGCACGAGGATCCCACCGCATTGGAGCAGGAGCAAATTGAGGTGCCATCATTTTCATAGGCGAGGACCGCATTCCATAATATTGCGGCAAAAATTCAGTTGCTTGGTCATACCCAGAGTAAGCATTGTTATATGCGTAGAAACGTGGATACGTTGTGTATGCAGCATCCTCCCAGGTGGCAAAATATATCGACAATAATTACACAACAAAGGATCGAAGTTTGTCTAGAGAAAGTTGTAAATAATACTTAGAATGAAAAATACAATGCTTTCTTTTACGCGACGGATTTTTCGCCGTAAGAAGATCGATCCAATTTTTCCATGTTATCTGCCAAGATTGTCAAAACTGGAAAAGAAACGTTTTGTCGCACAACCTGCTCACCGCGGGAAATGAAATATTACGCCGCCACAAGCGGACATATCTGTCATCTTGACCTTGGTTACCAAGTGTAACCATGCCTGATCACAGGGTAACTACAACTTTTACTTCGGTTAAATTTCTTTTGTCTTTTGAGGCATTTACCAAAGTATCAGTTGGCGTTTACACACGGAAAATGTTTACCTAGGTAAGTAAACTCTGATACCTCGGTAAACCGTTCAAGTCTAAACACAGCATTACTGTGTATTTCACTACCTTTGATAGTCGAAACTGAGCTTCATTTGACTCCGCATATCATTTGTAACACACCTTACCTTTGTAATGGATTGGCCTGTAGAATTGGCTCAAGGTTAATAAAAGCCCGTTCTACGTTAAGCAATCGGGTGTTGATTTTACGAACAACTGCATCACTGAAAAATAATATGCAAATATTTCAATTTTTCAACAACTACTCACGCAAAGATCACAAAACCATAAATGCAAATCCATCCAAATCAAATAGCTGGCTGGTATATTGGTTTTGTTCTTGAATTCCTGTTACAATTTGATTTTTGAGTTGACAATCTCAATATCACAAAAAAAGACAAAAGCAAATAGAGACTAGGCAAGCACTTCCCTGACTTCGGCTCATAATCTACTTGTTCTGGACATCAGAGATTTTTTTGATTTACCATACATGTAGCATGTGACCGCGTATTTTCACCAAAGACGAAAAAGAAAAACTAAGTTGATTTGTCTTTTCACTGTGGAGACGTTTACGATATAAAACAACTAATTCTTCGAGAAAGCAAGAGACTATAACTAAATCCAGTTTCGGCTTTCTTTATAGGTCAGTCATCAAATGACAAACCGATACCGATTCATTGTAAACAGGTAGACCTTGAACTGTATGAAAAGGTTGTTAAATATTTTCTCACTCTTCTTTGTCTGCTCCTTCCACAAAAGCATCAAAAGCTTTGGCTGTGTCTTGGAAGTTTTCTACAGCTTGGCCAAGGTAGTCTGCACGAAGAACAAATTAAAGCCAACAAATTAAAACGTTACGCATACTGGTGCTATCCCAAATCCAGTTTGGCGCAGTTCTAAAGATGTTTGGTAAAAAATAAATAAATAAATAAGTAAATAAATAAATAACTGCACGTTAAAAGTTATTTCCTATAGCGTTTTAATACGATGTTTCTGATGCATGCATATTTTCCTGCTAGATTGTCCTATCTGAGGAATAAAATAAATTTTATGTCATTAAGTTTCGGTCCCTGCAATTTAGACATAGAATAGCACCCTCGAACTACGAAAAAAAGATGCATAACTCGGGATAACCCCATGGCTGTTGTAAAATCTATAGGCAGAAACTATCCATGTAACCTTACGGGTAGAAACTGATAAAATTATAAACGTAATGAAATGTTTAAGACATACCCAACTCGTTTTCCACGCTGTAATTCTTGAAATCAGCTGCGAAGTCTTTCATTATTTTTGCATTGAACACCTTCATGTTATCGCCATAATGCGTTACATTTAATGGCAAAACAACGGCATCGGCCAAGGTCATGGTTATTTGTGTCCAAATCCTTGTAGTGACTTGGTGGTATTTAAAGTTGGGGTCAATAAGCGTCGACATCCACCAAAAATTGTCGTGAACTGTGTGGTATAACGGATTGCTGCTGGTTTTCTACAGGAAAAAGAAGGGCTCTCGTTATTAACAATTGTAAAACAGTCAAAACAGGGGAGACTTTTTAAAAAGGCTCGCTCAAAAAAGAAGAAAAGCTAATGCGAACGAGAAATGCCGTCTTCTGTCTGTATTACATTACATGCTTTCTTTTTCCTGATAATTTCGCTTCGCGAGCCACAATTATAACAAGAGGTGTTTTAAACTTACACTGTTGTATGTGTAACGAATATCCACAATAGGAATTCCAAGCCGCTGGATAAAGTTGACATAATCACTGCCTGCTCTTGGTTGCTGAAATCTACCGAGAAAAGACGTCATAAATAAAAAATAAATTGTACTGACAAAAAGACTGCGGACTGCAGAACCCTACCCTCATTAATCTAAACAAATAAAAATGTCACAGTAGTACAACACATAAGTTCGTAAGTGATCCTTTTACGCAATGTTTTTTAAACAAATGGTAAACGCCACAACGTACACTGTTGAGTTATGGAGGTAAGAGCCGCACTCGGCTATCGCCTCGTGCGACTTTAGCTTCCTGAGTGCTAAGCAAACTACCCAAGAGCATCCATGACTCAATAGTGTACAGCTGTGGCGTTTACTATTTGTTTTATAACATAACATCGACACATTGGAGCAAAAGAAGTCCTTTTATTGAGCTACATCACATCAGCACGTCAGCAGCAGCACACACGTCAGCAGCGTGCACCCATGCGCAAATAGTAGACGAATTAACCAATCAGAGCGCGCGTTTGCTTTGGTTATGTTATAATTTCTTTTTTTTTTTATGTTAATATTATTAATCAATGCTTTTTCAGTTTCACAGTTTGCCCTGCCAACGTTATATCACTGTTACACAAATAAAAATCGACTAACCACCAGTGACTTACTACCTTGGTAAATTCTTGAACCCCAGTCTTGATGGAATTTTTCTGAGCCACTCATCAAAAGCAGTCTCGTTTCCTAAAGGGCTTGGCACCTAACAAAATCAATATATGGTATTTAGATTGTAATTGCGATTAATTTGATTAATTGATTGATTTTTGTTTCAAATGTTGTTTGTAATCAAAATGAACGTTCTAAGAATGTTACTTTACACGAACGTTACGTTACATTACGTTCCGACATGTCAGTACACCTCACTCAAAACGAGCACTAGAGAACAACTGGGAAACACTCATTCTTATCTCGAACTGTCTGTCTGTCTCCGAGAACTCGCAAACATGGTTTCCAGAGGTAAAGTCTGCATTTCCGGTTTTGGTAGCATGAGTATAGCTCCCCCTTGGGGTGGATGCTAATCCATCGCAGGGTTACCCACAGCACTTAATTCGCGGTACCCATTTGTACGCCTGGGCGGAAAGAGGCTCTGTGAAAGTTAAAAGTTTCCAGCCCAAGAACACAACTCAGTGTCCCTGTCCAGGGCTTGAACCCGGACCGCTCGCTCTAGAGGCATGCGTACTAACTAACAGGCCACCACGCCTTCTGTTTCCATGCAGTATTTCTAAGGACATATAATAGAATAGAATAGAATAGAATAGAATGGAATGGAATGGAATGGATGGAATGGAATAGAATAGAATAGAATGGTAAAAATTTATACCAAGCCGTATATAAGGATATCAGAGAGCATCTAAACAGTTCAGTGGACTTTTGTACTAACCTTCATTGCTCCTTTGGCCAAGACCCAGTCGAGGAGAGGTGCTGACTTTGCTCGGAAAGAGTAATTTCCTTGGAAGCAACAGAAACAACTTGGTTAACTTACTCAAGTGAGAGCACTATCCTAGCCCAAAATTTAGCGATTGAATACTGATTATTGATCTAGGTAGTGAAAAGGTGGCTTCTTGTATGGGAAATATAGGTTAGACAGAAATCAAAAAGGCTGCTGAAACCTCTTCTATTTAGTTGGAACTTACCGTCAACTGCCATATCTACGTTGAGATAGGCTACAGCACGGGCGGACAACAACCGTGAATATTCCTACAAAGAACAGGACAAAACGAAGCGTAAGTTTCGATTGGCGTTCTCGTAAAATAATGAAAATAAAAATAAACTATAGTGAATGCAGACGCTAGATCGTGATACTCTTAAGAATATATAAATTAAATTAACTTGAAATCGTATGAAAGCAAACAATAACTTAGCCTGTGTGAGCAAACCAGGGTCCGAAGTTAACTTTTTTCGGCAGGCGCCAACTGACGACTGAAATTTTTTTTTCAGTCGCCAAATGGAAAAATGTGGTCGCCAAAATGTGTCAATAAAATTTTTCCCTTGCAGCGAAACACAAACCAAAATTTTTGGTCACCACGTGCTTGCCGGCAAAATATTTGCAATCGATGTAATCAGGAATCAAACCAGTGCTGAAATCATCTTTTGACCACTTTGACAGATCTACATTTCCACCTTTCGACGCCCAGAGAATATCTAAATCTTCATCTAATTTCTTCGCGGATGTTCCGTCTCCACCTTGTAATAAGTTACGAAAAGATTTCAGAACATCTTTGGACACCACATCGCCTGGAT